TCTCGTATTACATGAAAAGAAAAAAATCCAGCTTAAATACAATATATGATATAGAAAGTCTGAGAATAAATAGGATGGAATAAAGTATATCAGGAAAATGTCAACAACAGGGAAAAATATGGCATGGTTATATTAATGTCTGTCAAATTAAGCTGAAAGGCAAACCATTTTGTTAGAAATAAAAGTATATTAGACAATGACAAAATAAATAATGACAAAAAGAATAACGTAATAATTTTAAACTCATATAAATTTGACAACATATTCTCAAAATATGTGAGGCAAAAAATTCACAAAATTCTTGGAGAAACTTGACAAATACATCATCATAGTGGGAAATTTTAATACAATACTCTTAATAATTGATAAGTCAAATGGATAAAAATTTAGTATGAATGGAGAAGATTTTAACTACACAGTTAATAAGCTTGATCTAATGGAAGTACATAGAGTACTACATCCAACTTGTAAAGAATACACATTCTTATCAAACACGTAATGACCACATACTAAACCACAAAGCAAGTCTTAACAAACATAAATGAATCAATAACATAGAGACAACATTCTTTGATCATTAGGTAATAACATTAGAAGAAACTTCAATAAATCACCCCAGGTTGAAATTAAAAAGTACATTTCTAAGTAATTAATCAATTAAGGAAGAGATTATAAGGTGAATAATCTGGTAGCACATGTTATGTCATCACAATCATCACCATCACCATCTCCACCACCTGGGGCAGAATTTTTTGGGGGAAACTAACAGGGACATTAGCAATAGCGAGTATGCAGATTGCTGTTACCCATCACATACTTGGTCACTCCAGAAGGAGCTTGCATGGCAAGACCTCAGACCTGGGAGAGGGATGCTGGCTTTTGGGCTGGGAAGTCTTTAAGCTACATCATTGGAGAAGCGTTAGCCTCTTTCCTGGGGCTGGGGTCCAATAGCAATGTGGCATGGGAGAATCTTGGGCTCTAGTCATCTTCTGCCATATCAGCATTCATGCTGGGGGGAGCACAAGGCTCTCCCTGGGCATGGCAAAGAACCTGGGGTCCAAGCCTTGTGATTGTCACTATAGGATGTAGCCTGCTTTTTCACCTCAGCGTCCCCAAAGGATGGATTGTCTTAAGAACTTGCTATAGTCAGTTTCCAAGGAGACCTGTGATCATTAAGGAAACTAGAGGAGCAATTAAAATTCACCCATTACATTAGACCCAGAAGATTGTTCAGGCAAAATCTACCAAATAGACTGACAGTTAAGAAACTGTTAATCTCCATTATATACAAATTGTTTCAAAGAATAGGGAAAGAGGTAATGTGCCCTAGTTCATTTTATGATTTTTGATGCCAAAATTAGGCAGATAAATTAAGAGAAAGAAACATATAGATTAATCTCATTTATGAACAAAAACTCCAAAATTCTAAATAAGATATTAACAAATCAAATTAATAGATAAAAATATAGATAAATGATAAATAACTCCTATTCTGCAAGATTTATTCCAGGGACTCAAGGACAATTTAACATTAGTGAACCAATTCGTATAATTTATCACAGTAGCAGATTAAAGAGAACACACAGAATTATCTTGATAGATGCAGGAAAACGTGCAGTCATGACTTTAGAAAAAAACATAGAAAACTAGAAATAGAGAGAACACTTGAAAAGGATAAGGTTATCTACCAAATGTGGACAAATATCATGCTTAATTTTGAAAATTTAAAGCCAGGAACAAAAGAAATATTCTAACTAATCATTATTTCTATTCATAACAGAGCTGAAGGTCCTAGGGCACCCAAGAAAAGGACAAGAAAAAGAAATAAAAGCTATAATGGTTGAAAATGAAGAAACAAATATTCATTTTAATAAAAAATAATGATCATCTACAAAATCCAGGAGAATTTACCATTAGAACCAATAAGAAAGAAAGTTTAATAAAGGTGCTGGATACAATGTTAATATACAAAAATTAATAAAAATAAGCATTCCAAACCTTTACAAATATACTATTTACATTATAAATTATAAGGTGCCTGAGAATAATTATAAAAATATTCTGAAAAAATATAAATTTTTATTGAATAATATATAAGAATATGAAGTAAGTGGAGCAATATGTTCATGGATGGGATAAGACTCAAATTCATTAAGATGTCAAAATTTCCCCGGTTGTTCCATAAATGCAGTACAATTCACAATCCCAAAAGGCAACACCTCACAACCTCAACTACTGTGAAAATTCCTATAGAATCATAAAGGGCTAAATATTGGCAAGACAATTTGGAAATAATGAAAATAATTAATAATATGGGAATATTTACCCTGCCAGATTTTAAGACAGTATAGAGCTTTAAAAACCAAAACAGTATGATACTGGTAGAAGGATAAACAAAACAGAGCAAGGGAACAGAGTAAAGGGTCTAGAAACACATGCAGAAGTGGCATTATAAGTCAGAGGGAAAAGATGACATATTCAATTACTGGTGTTGGAATAATTGTCTAACCATCTGAGAAAAGATAAAATGAGATCCTTACCTTTCACCATGCACAAAAATGAATTTCAGATAGACTAAATACTTAAATGTAAAAAATCAAAACTATAAACATTTTATAAGAAACTTTTTGATCTCAATGTAGGGATGGGGTTTCTTAAATAATTGATTAGAAGCATGAAAAACAAAAGGAAAAACAAAGGAAAGTATTGATAAATTAAAGCCCATTAAAAGAAGAAAACGTCTGTGTGATAAAAAAAACTGCAGACAAAGAAAATACGATAGAAAAATGGAATAAAAGATATGAACGGAAAAACTACAGAAGAGCAAGGCCTAAGTGGCATTTATATGTATATCAAATATATGTAAATATATGCTCAATCTCTCCAAAGTAGAGGAATGCAAATTAAAACCACAACAAAATACCATTGTACACACACTGAATAAAAATTTAAAACTATAGGCTGGGCACGGTGGCTCACGCCCATAATCCTAGCACTCTGGGAGGCCAAGGAGGGCAGATTGCTGAAGGTCAGGAGTTCAAAACCAGCCTGAGCAAGAGCGAGACCCCGTCTCTACTATAAATAGAAAGAAATTAATTGGCCAACTAATATATATATAGAAAAAATTAGCCGGGCATGGTGGCGCATGCCTGTAGTCCCAGCTAACTCGGGAGGCTGAGGCAGAAGGATCACTTGAGCCCAAGAGTTTGAGGTTGCTGTGAGCTAGGCTGACACCATGGCACTCACTGTAGCCTGGACAACAAAGTGAGACTCTGTTTCCAAAAAAAAAAAAAAAAAAATTTGAAAATATATATGTGAATAATGATTGTGGGTGATGGTAAACCTCCTACACTGCTGGTGGTAATTAACATAGTACAACCATTTTTAGAGGGCAATTCTGCAAGACCTAACAAACTGAAGGTGAGCAGACCCCAGGGCCCAGAAACTCTGCTTGCAGGGGTCTGCTCAGAGCGCTTCTTACAAATGTGCAGCAGGAGTGAGGTACAAAAGAGTCCATTTCAGTACTATTTGCCATAGAAAAAAATTAAAAATGTCCTAAATGTCCATCAATAGAGAATGTATAGACAACAATGTATACTTCATTCAATGACTATTATACAGTGGTCAGATGAACGAACTAAAGTTACTAGCATCCACAGAGTAATCTCAAAAGCGTAATAGTCACTGAAATAAAGCAAGTAGCACAAGGTTGTGTGATGATGATAACAGGAACAGTAGTGACCATCCCAGCAGCAGTGACATTGCCACAGTGCCTGTCTTGCTCCAGGTGCTTTCCTAAGTGCTGTGTGGAATTAATTCAGTCACTGTCAACAGTAATCCCTAGGAGGCAGGCACTATTTTCATCCCCATTGTACAGATGAAGAACTTGAAGTAGAGAGACGTGCACTATGATATCATTATGTTAAATTCTAAAACATGCAAAAGTAGTATATCTTCTTTATAGACACATACAAATGCAAACAAAAATTCATGGGCAGGATACATACCCCGTGGAGGAGAGTGTTTATTTGGGGAAGGAATCAGAAGAGAAGAGATGAACAGTGAGGCCTTAAGCATATCTGTCGTGTTTTATTTCCTTAAGAAATTAGAAAGGTCTGAAGCAAACTAGACAAAATCTTAATATCTATTATACCTCTTAAATGTGGAGGGTGGGTGCATGAATGCCCTGTATTATTCTCTATATGTTTGACCTGCCACAATTTCAAATTTAAAAAAAAATTTAAAGAATTAAATTTTAAAAAAGAAAGAATACAGGATGGTTTTAAGCAAAAAGTTGATGCTTTGATGGGGGTTGTAAGGGTTAATTTGACTTGTAGACACACAATCATGGAAAACTGCAAAGCAGAAAGAGCAGGTTAGAATTTGAATCCTAATTATGTGCATATTATCTGTGTGACTTTTGGAATATTGTTTAACTTTCTGAATCTCTGTTTCTTCATTTACAAGGCAGAGTTAATAATGCCTTCTTCTTGAATGGTGGCAAAGAATAAGTGAGGGGAAAAAAAGAAAAAAAAAACTATGTTAAGCAACCAGCAGCATCTGATAATGTTTACCATCACTGTTTTCCAGAAAAGGAGTCAGGTCTAAGGAAGTCTGTAGGCTGATGTCAAGGTCCCAGCTGCAGTCCCTATACCAACTCCGATGGTTAAGCTCCAGTTGAGGACAAGCAGCTGGCATGGCAAGGCAGGGCCTCGGGTCCATGGATAGGGGTACAAATCAGCTTGTTAGGATGAGGACTCCACACTAAAGCAGAAAAATCAGAAGCCCAGTGATGAGACCTGGGCACAAGCGACATACGAGGCAAAGCTCTGCTTGCCCAGAAGCTGGAGGGATGTGAGGAGCCCTTAGATCCCAGGAGGAAGCTGCCCTTGTTGACTCAGGAAGAGCATCTTTCAGTGGATGGACCATGAAGGCTTGGAGTTGGTTCTTTCTTTTCTTCTTGTCTTTTCTGTAATTCCCTTGCATGTCTGTGCACACAGGAGAGCGTAGGCTGGAAAATGAAAAGGACAACTTTGAAAAGGGAGCTGAAGACAAGTTCATGCTGGATGCCCCAGATCTGGGGCAGCTGACGAAGATCAATATTGGCCACAACAACAAGGGCAGCTCTGCAGGCTGGTTCCTGGCCAAGGTGTGTTCCCATGCTTGTCTGTGGTCCCTGTACCCTAGGAGGGGGATTCTGGCTCTTCAGAGGTTTGTATCTCAGCCCCAACTTTCCCTTCTAGGTCTGTCTGCATCCACTCTCCTGCCTAAGCTGGCCAGCCAACCACACTGCCTTCCTCATGCCTCCAAGACTTCACCCATGTTATTCCCTTCCTAGAAAGCCCAGCTCTCTCATCCAAACCCAGCCAGGGCCTAGTTATCCTTCAAGGCTCTGCCATGAAGTCTTCCCTGACTCCAGCCCACCAGAACCCCACCTTCCCAGGAAAGCTTATAACCCTGCGTGCTTACAGCATTCACTGGACCCAAATCGTTTGCTTTCTTGTGACTTATCTCAGGTTTTCGCTCTGTACCTTAAATTTCTGGATCTCAGGTCCCTCACAGTTTCTCCTGTCCAGGACAATGCTAAGAATTAAGAAGAAAGCAAAAAGGCTTCTGAGCAGCTAAGGTGTATCCAGTTTAATGTTTGCCAGGAAAGCTCCTGCCCTGGCTCTCTCTTGCTCTGCCCTGATTTGGAAGGAAACTGCCTCAGACTCTCATTCAAGAATCTAGTGTGTGAGCACCTGAAATGTGGCTAAAAAAAAGAAAAAAAAATTTAATTAAAGAGTCTAGTGTGTACATACAATCCCTTCTAGCAAATTGCAACCTGAAACTGTAAGCCTAGAGCAGAAAATTAGAAGGAGAAAGAGGCACTGTGATAGGTAGGGTTACTGAGAACAGTAACAGGAAGTCAGAGAAGATATAAAATGCCAAAAGAATATTAAAAATTCACAGAAATCTGAGGTCATTTACAAAACAGGATACCAGCTCTTTGCATGTATTTCCTTTGAAAATTACAACATCAATGTATTCCAGCTCATCACAGAATGATAGGAAAAGGTTAATGTGTTATATATTTTTGAAAAATATTTTGAAAAAGATCTTACTGCTTAAAACAGAAAACAGTCAGATTTATAACAATTTGACTAGAAAGAATAAGGCTGTTTGATAGTTTAGGTTTTGTTATGGCTTAATGTCATTTATCTTCTTGCACCAGTTAGGAATGTATATGGATGCAAGTATCAGAAAATTAAAGTGCGCTGTTAAACAACTAGGGACTTATCGTTTCATCTCACAGGAAATACAGACATGGTCAGCTCAGGGCCGGTGCAGCTGCCTTCTGAGGAACCTGCTCTCTCGCCGTGTCGCCAAGTGCATGTGGCTTTCATCTTCCAACTTATTGCCTCATGATCACATGATAGCTGCTAATTCTCAGGCATCCTATCTGTGTTCCAGACAGGAAGAGAGAGAAAGACAAAGGGGATAAAGCCGTTGACAAAGGGGATAAAAAGTTTGTTTTCTGTCAGGTCTTGCCTTATTTTGAAAGAGCCCTCCTTGGAACTTCTGGCTACGTTTCACTGGCCAGAAATGTGTTACGGGGCCACCTTAGCTGCAATGGAAACTGGGAAATTAAGTGTTTAGCGTTCTGGCCTCTGTAATAGAAGTAGACCGACAAGGAGAGTGTTGAGTGAGCACCCTAGAGTGTCTTCAGTCTTTTTCCCATAACTAGCCTGAAAGTCCTTGAGGGCACCTTCCTAGCTATTGGACTGGGCATTTAATCAATGGAGCAAGGAATGGCTAATGTTCCTTTGGAAAGGAAGGGCTTGACAGGTCTCAAGAGCAGCAAACCTGGTGCTGAACAGGGTCCCAGGAGGCTAAAGGGAACTGCTGCTTGGATTGAAGAAGAAATGGAGCAGGAGCTCAGAATCTAAACAGCCAATACACAGGCAGAGGTGTGTTTTCAGGGTGGTTTTCTATTCAATTTGGCAGAGGAGGGAGAGGGGCCAGGTGTATTTTATGACTCCAGCCAGGATAAGGCATGGAGCAAGTACCCTGAGCTCCAGTCCCTTCATCCTGAAAAGGAAAATAATATGAGTGAAAACACAAGGTTTAGGAGATGCAAAGAGCAAACAGTTGCACCTTCTTGAGCTCAAGTTTCTTCTTGGTCACATGTGTCCATTCACTCACTGTGCTCTCATGAAGGAGGCGGTTTCACATGCCAAGACACGTTCCTTTGTTGCCTTCACACTCAAAGGGCGGCTTGACAAGGTGTGAGATCTATGGGTGAGAACACTTTTTTCCTTTAAAACTTGGTAGATCTTATTCCATTGAATTCTGAAATTTGATATTGAGGCCAAGCAGACTTTGGTTTCTTTCTGGGTAACCTAATTTTTTTTCTGCCAGGATGCTTGCAAGATTCTTTTCCCTTTATATTTATAATTCAAAAGTCTTGCCAGACAGTATCTAGAAGTGCAGCCTGTGTTAGTTTGTCCTCCCTCCCTCCATTTCTCCCTCTCTTCCTTCTTTCCTTTTGTGTTTGTTTTTAATTTCTCTGGAACATGGTAGATCTTTTCTGTCTGATGGGTAGGATGTTTCTTTATTATTTATAGTTAATAAGTCAGAAAAGAGATTTTCTATTATATACTAGATTCTTGCTTGGAGGGCATTTGTTCTGGTCTTTTCCTCAGAACACCAATTATCCAGCTATGGGATCTCCATTCTCTGTCTTCCAAAACTCTCAGCTTCCCTTTTACTCCTGTAAACTAAAAATGAAATCCTCAGATCCCTCACTGACTGAACAGACCCCCTTTTGGCCAAGGGGACCCCAAAGAAACCTTAAAAACTGAGTTCCCATCCATGACAGGATACAAGGTCAGACACGCCTCATTGTACACCCTCCCTTTTGGTTTTGGACACAACTGACCTGCATTAATGTTAAAATAGTTGTCATAAAACTGACAGAATGGACTCTTTGTTGCAAGAAGATATCAAATTATAAACAGGACCTAAGGCCATGCCAGGAAAGGGTTAGGTCAAGCACCTCCTACACTTAAAGGATGAACTGTGTTCTAACTGCCTGGGGAAGGTCTCATGATTCATGGTTTATATCTTATCCCTGAGTAAAGAATCTTATTGTGACTCCCTCAAATCTCTTTTTCCCCCCTTCTTTACTCCTTAAGGAAAAATGAGTCCCTCAAATCTTACTGTGAGTTCCTCAAACTCTTGAGGTACTGATTCATACATACCCTAGTGACACTGAAAAGGAATGCTCATTCATTTATGAATCATGAAGTTTTACTGATTTCCTTGTGTGTAAAACATTTTAGCCTGTGTGTTGTCGTCTGTAGCCAATGACTGTAACCTCTGTATTGTACCCTCCAGTTAAAAATGATATCTCTGTTATGAGGAGTCCTCCTTCCTTCTCCTAAACTTCCTTATAAAAGTATTTCAACTTGTAACAGCCTTTGGAACACACCTAACTTTGTTGATGTGTTTCCCCAGGTCTATACTCAAATTTGGCTTTCCATAAACCTTCATCAAATTATTTCTGCCTCAACAGCCTTAATTTCAGTAGACACTCTTTTTTTTTTTGTTAATCTCTGTTTTCTTTGCATTCCTTGATAACATATCAAATCCCCACCCCTACATCATTGATTTGCTTTTCCATGCTGTAAGTTTTATTCCTTTATCTTGTCAATGTGCATTTCAATTATGAATGTGTTTATTTTAATTATTTTTTTCTTCTTACAAAAGTAAGATGTTCATTGTAAAAAGTTTAGAAAATACAAATAAACAAAAAAGATAATACAGGCCACTCATAATTTTGCCACCCAAACATAACCAGTTAATATTGTGATAAATATCCTCCAGACATTTTTCTATTAATTAATAGATATATGTCATTTTTTAAAAATGGTGTCATTTGAACACAATGTTTTACAAACTGCTTTGTTTTTACTTTTACATATAAAATGCATTTTTCCTATTATTTAAATAGAATGACATGCATATTTTATAATATAATTTTTAATGACTATAACAGTATTTCATTGTACAGATCTACCATAACCTATTAAACCAATCTCCTTCTGTCGAATGTTTCTATTTTTTCCTCAAAATTATTATACTGTGTACTATATATTGTACTATTATATAATATATAAAAATATATATTATACTGTATAGTTTGAATATATCTTATTTGAAATACTTAGGACTTGAAGTATTTCAGATTTTTTAGGGTTTTGGAATATTAGCATATACATAGTGAGATATCTTGGAAATGGGACCCAAGTCTAAACATGAAATTCATTTATGTTTCACATCCACCTTATGCACATAGCCTAAAGGTAATTTTATACAATATTTTTGTGATTTTGTGCACGAAACAAAGATTTGACTACGTTTTGACCGTGACCCATCACCTAAGGTCTGTTGTGATATTTTCCACTTGTAGCATGATGTTGGCATTCAAAAAGTTTCAGATTTTAGAGCACTTCAGATTTTGAATTTTTGGATTAGGTATTTTCAACCTATATAATTACACTATATAATATATAGTATACTATTATACTATAGATAGTGCTATTACAAATATTCTTATAGCTTATCCTTGTGCACATCTATGATTATTTCTTACAATAAATTCCTAGGAGTTAAAGGACATACAGAATTGTAAGAACTTTGATGTATTTGCTGCTATGTTGTTTTTTTACTTTTCTTGATACCTTTTATCATTTAGTTTAGTTATCTTCTAACATCATCTTGTTACTATCTCATTGTAATCCCTGAAAATGTTTGTTCCTATTTCATAAAGACTAACTCTTCTTGTATTCTATCAAGCATCCCAGTTTCCTGAATTCATTTTCTGTGTCCTATATTAGGTCATTTCCAGAATTTCGCTCTTCTGATTCTTTGGAATTATTTCTGTGTTTGATTCAGAAGTACTTTTTCATAAGGCTTTAAGTTGGTGTTTTCTCTGTATCCAACCTCAAATGAGGTAGGTCCTATCCATATTCAGTGTCTGACAATAGTCAAGGTGCACCTGGCACATAGGACATATTTATTAAATCTCTCTTCTTCTTCTTCCTCCTTCTCCTTCCATTTTTATCCTTAGCTACTCCAGTAGGGTAATTATTGAATTCCCAATTCTCGTATGCAGGGACGAGTGGAGGCTCTTGGTTCAATTCTCAGATCCCAGCTGGCACTGTCCTGGGACACTTCCACCCCAATGTGATGGTTTCTTTTTTTATTCCCACTGGCAGGTCTTTGATGCAGGTTGGTGTCATGTTATGCAAGAGATGTGTTCCTAAAAATTTACATAATTTGAAATTCACTTAATTTGAGACAGAATTCCCTGTGGGAATAATATAAAGCAGAGGGCTGTGCACTTTGAGCATATATGGTGACAACCATTGAAGTGTATTTTTGCTCTAATGCTTTCTGGTTTTTACAGTATTGTCTCCAAGATTTTACAAAGCTACCAGGTGCTTGTGTGGTCTTGTTAGCATTTTATCATCTTAAGGCTGTTCTAAAGTGATTGATTTTTTAAAAACTAAATGTTATTGTTTATATTTAAGGTGCACAACATGATGTTATGGGGCACATATGGATAGTGAAAAGGTTGCCCTCTGCCTGCACAGTGCTCTGCCTGGAGGACACGTGCCAGTTAATGATTCTGCATATCTTAGGGCGAGTTTTCAGTTGGGGCTTCCTGGCACATTTTGGGAGAGCCCTTCAGCTTCTTGGGACATTCTAGAGGACATCCTTATCTCAGCCTCACTAACCTGGTTCTCACGGGAGTCCCCTTGGCTTCACATACGGCCGATTCCATTCACCTCACTGTCAGTGGCTGATGCTTTCTGACCTGATCATCAGGTCCTCGGATTCTCCGTGCCTGACTTGAGGCTCACAATCCCCATTGCATGGATTCTGCTTCCTACCGTTGAGGTCAGGATTCCAATCTTCAGCATGTGAGAAAGGTGACAATCTCGTCCCAGTCTCACAGTGGACATTCTGCCAAGTTTCTTGCTTCCATTTTTAAAATGATCTGCAGCAGTGGAGGGCACAGTGGCTCAGAGATCCAAGTAGGAGGTAACTGGCAGTTATCCCTGTGTGACTCTAGGCATTGCCAGGTTTTCCTGGACACACTTGTGTCCTTGTGATAAGCTTTCCTTGGACCACTGAGGAGATGAGATTAGGTTCTTAGAGAGCACTCAGGTGACTGGAGAATTGGGTTAGATCACCAGGTGCACCCTCAGCAACACTTATCCACATTCCCTCTCTTCTCCTTCCCAGATTGTCATTGAAGATATTGGGAACAAAAGAAAATATGACTTCCCCCTTAACCGATGGCTGGCGTTGGATGAAGACGATGGCAAAATCCAAAGAGATATCTTAGTGGGCGGAGCCGAGACCACAGGTACATGTGAAGAAAAGGGAGGCCCACCTGGCTATTTCACTTTCCGCCTATGGGTCAGTGTTCTCATCTGAGCACTTGGAGGTCAGCGGTAAAGCAGGTCTGCAGACAGCATTTCTCCTGCCCCTGAAAAAGTTCTGTTCCCCTGGGCTGCAGCTGGGGACTTTGTTGATGCCAGGGGATTTGGGGCAATGCCACAGAGCAGACACTACCTGCCCGGGGCAAAGGAAGTTATCAATAGGGTGAAGCCAGAATGTGAACTTCTGATTAAGTGTGGATGTTTACGAGGACATTGACTTACTCTTAACACCTCCTAAGACCAACTGTTTGTTAGATGCCAGACCCTCTGCTAGGCACCTTTAACCCCACAACCATCCTGTAATGTAGGAACTGTCATTGTTCCCGTTTCATGGATGAGGAACCTGAGCCACAGAGAAGTTAAGACGTCTGTCCAGAGTTACAAAGCTAGCAAGTAACAGATCTAGGATTTGGTCTGTTTCCTAAAGCTCTACCCTGTGTGAATTCCATTGAAAACCTCCCACTCCCAGCATGGCAGATGGGGTCGTGGATGTTTTAGAAAATCGGTGTAGATGCTGTGCATGCTGCAGAACCCCTCATGGCTCATTGCTGCATAAGGTCCACGCTCTGTAGGATAATATGCAAATTGCTCCACAGTTTGTCTCCAGTTTATCCTATCAGCAGAGCCTTCCCACATCCTCCCGCCCACTGCACCCTCGTGCCTTCCGTTCTCCCCCCACCTCGTCCACATGCCTTCCCCCTCCCCTACCCGAGCCCTGCCCTGGTTGCCTTACTCTCTTCCCTTTATCCTTGGAACCTGCTTTCTTTTCAGCCTGTAATGTCTTTTCTTTTCTTCCTCAGTCTCAAATTCCTGCTTCCCATCACTTCCTCTGAGCCCTCCCCGAACTCCTCTGGGCCAGGTAATTTCTCCCTTCCTTTGCTCTGTGCCTCCTGGGCTGGCATTTGTTTAGGAGACCGAATGCTTCTCTGCTGCAGCAACCTCAGCATCGTGGCCTGCTCATTGCGAGGCATGTCATAAGTCATTTGTAATGAAAGTCTACTTAAAAATATACCAGAATAGATTTAATATCATCCCCTTGGGTGTGTCACTAGTACTTGTCTCCCAGTGATGGAGGAAGAGGAGAAATGACAGCAGCTGGAATTGCTTTTGACCCAGGCCCTGGAAGTATGTCGGGTGAGAATACCATCAGTCCATGTGTCTTGGAGAAATGAAGCTCGAGACACTTTTTTAGAGCAGTGACCCTTCCTTTTTCTCTTTATAAACTCCTGAAGGCTTGGCATCTAGTAAGCACTCAGTAAAAGTTTGCTGAACAAAAGGTGTAAACATGTGAATGAACAATGCAGTCATGTAGTTGCATGCACTATTTCCCAAAGAAATTTGGGATTTGTATTTCTCTGAGGTCATCGGATGAGGGTGTGGCATAGAGTAGGCTAGGGGATGGGTAGGGAAATTAATAAGGCCCAAAGTGCCGATGGCCTTAGACCCAAAGAACACAGGCCAGACCTTAGCACAATCGCCTGTCCAAATGCTCCCGCTTGGTTTTTCTCTTTAACTCTTCTCTATCTTGGAGTTTAATCTCCCCTTGCTGGCTCTTTGCCAGAATTTCATATTCTCATATTGCCTTCTAACTGACCAAAACCCAAAATAACCCACCCTATAGTGTTCCCTCTCTCCCTCAATTCTCCCTCATCCCACCACATTAGGTGGTGAAGGAGGACGTTAATGCTCTCCATTAAAAGTTATGTTTTAAAGTTATCATCAAAAGAGCAAGCTAAGTGCATCAGATAGCCCTGAATATAAATCTCCATTAAATGGAGTTGACTATTATAATTAGATTAGACATAACAGAATTCATCTGGCAGCTATTAATAATGTTCACATGGTAATTATCATTAATAATAAGTACTATTCTTAGCCAACCCAAGTTCCTCCTTCTCCTTATTAGTTTCCTGTAATTGGCACTGAGGGTTTCCTGTAATAATACATGCAGTTTATTCTCAAACTCAGATGCACTGACACAAAAACTCTGGAAAAGAGGAAGTGAGGTTGAGAGGGACCTTGGATGTCACCTGTGGGAGGAGCACATGACACAGAGGAGGATGTGTGGCAGAGGGGGACTTCGGGGGTGCTGTAGCCTGGTACGGAATGGGGGTGGGTATGATAATGCAGCTCACATTGAACCCTCTCCACCCGCTGTTTCCACCCCAGCTATCACGTATATTGTCACCGTCTTCACTGGGGATATCCGGGGAGCTGGGACCAAATCCAAAATCTACTTGGTCATGTACGGGGCCAGAGGGAATAAGAACAGTGGGAAAATCTTCCTGGAGGGTGGCGTGTTTGACCGAGGCCGCACAGACATCTTCCACATAGAGCTGGCTGTCCTCCTTAGCCCCCTGAGTCGGGTCTCCATCGGGCATGGCAACGTGGGCGTCAACAGAGGCTGGTACTGTGAGAAGGTAAGGGACGCCCCCAAGGAGAGCCTTCTCTGATTCAGCACCTCTCTTCTTTAACTTGCAAGTACAAGCTTTAAGCTGAACCTGACTTCCTGCTTCCTCTGGTCTAGTTGCAGAGCACATAGGCAATCCCTCTCGTTGGGCGTTTTGGGTATAACATGTTTGTCTATTAATATCTCGTCTTCGTGGTGGTCAGGAATGGAGGCTGCTCTGCACATGCATCCAAGGGCCAAACACAGGGTAGGTTACCCAGAGGTGCTCAGTTGGTGGTATAGACTATCCTGGTCCCTGGTGTGGTGTTTCACACTGGCTTATAAATCACTTTCAATCAACAAGTATTTAAAAATATATATTTGTATTATGGGATACTTATACTTTAAAGAATATGTACAATAAAAGTAAGGCACAGAGAATGTCAAAAACAAACTTCAGTTTTGTCTACCACCTGGTTTGAGAAATAGAACATCCCAATGTCTTTGAAACTCCCCTGTGTCCTTCCCCAATCATATAATCCTCTCTCCCTCAATAGACATACAGTATTTTGAATTTTGTCTACATATATATTGTCTGTAATATATACATTTTTTTTGAACTATTTTTTTTTTTTTGAGACAGGGTCTCACTTTGTTGCCCAGGCTAGAGTGAGTGCCGTGGCATCAGCCTAGGTCACAGCAACCTCAAACTCCTGGGCTCAAGCAATCCTACTGCCTCAGCCTCCCAAGTAACTGGGACTACAGGCACGTGCCACCATGCCCGGCTAGTTTTTTTTTCTATATATATTAGTTGGCCAATTAATTTCTTTCCATTTTTATAGTAGAGACGGAGTCTCGCTCAGGCTGGTTTTGAACTCCTGACCTCGAGCAATCCACCCGCCTTGGCCTCCCAGAGTGCTAGGATTACAGGCGTGAGCCACCGCCCCCGGCCTGTAATATATACATTTATTATATAGATTTCACTCAACATTATGCTTTGTTGAATGCATGAGGGGTGAGCTATATTAATTGCCAATAACATTCGTGTCCAAGGACTGAAACATTTTCAGAGGCTGCTATCCGTGGTCCTGAGCTATCATTTATCTCTAGGGAGGAGTGTTTCCCTGGGAATTTGAAGGGGTACACATTCCCCTCCCTCATCTCTTAGTATCTCTCCTCTTTGTGTTTTCTGTAAGTTACGGTTCATCATGATGGTCAGATGATGAATATTAGGTGGGTTCTCAGAGATCCCTGGGGACATCTAAGGGTAAGAATTCAAGTTAAGGAAGTTATAGTCAATTGGAGTCACTATGAACAGCTGACAACAAATACCCAGTAAGACAATGGGTAGTCAAAAGCTTGACCAAAGAGAGATCAGATTAGTTTTCAAGTTCAAAAGAAGATAAAGCTTAGAATCCAGTCATGTGAACAGTCGAAATGTCTTTGCCGATAGAATATTCTTTATCATGCCAGGCACACTCCTTTGAGCATCCATATGCATGGCCTGGGCCATGTTTTCAATCCATGGGTTCAGAACATGGGTAGAGATAGAAAAGGCATAGGAGAGAGGGTTGAATGAGGATCAAGCCTAGAAGAGGGCAGTGGATTTCTATATTAAATCCCAGATATTAATTAGATTTCATGTGATTTACCTTTTTCCTACAAGATAATTATAAGGAATAATTTAGTAGTCTGGTTCACTTAGTTCAGATTAACTGAGATTTTACATACAATATGCATAAAGAAATATGGTGTTCAAAGACAGTGTTGGATATAGAGGAAAAGGTTTGTGACTTAACTAGTAAATTGGAGGATGGGTGATACCTACTTTGGAAGACTTCTCGGAGGAGGCATTTCTTGATTTAAGATTTAATGAGACAGGCAACATAAAAAGGGTCATACCTTGAGGGTCCTCATACAGATGTCCCTTCATGTGGGGCTGAGGAGGCTTTTGAGCATCGTGAAGAGGTCCCAGCTGGGGCCAGGTGCAGGTCACGCTGTGCTCTGCTCTCCCCAGGTGGTGATCCTATGCCCCTTCACTGGCATCCAGCAGACCTTCCCCTGCAGCAACTGGCTGGATGAGAAGAAAGTGGATGGGCTGATCGAGAGGCAGCTCTATGAGATGATGTCACTCAGGAAGAAGAGGCTGAAAAGTAAGTGGAAGAGACCCACAACCTGGAAGCCTCCCAGACAGGGCCAGGATGTCAGACCACTGGGCAGAAGCTTTGAGGATGATCCACTCCCCCTTCTCAGTTCTCCTCTAGAAAGGAGGAGAAAGGCCCTCCAGGCAGCTCAGTTCTCCAAGGTACCAGCCATACAGAGTTACGCACCTGCCACCAAGGTTGACTCCAATGTCCCCAGGTTGAATAAGCTGCCGTGACAGGCGAGGTGTCAACCTGAGTGGCTCACTACAGTGCATCCTGAATGTACTGGACATAGGGTGGGAGGTCAACTCTTCCCCCAATTTGAAGCATACTAATAGGGTTTAGCCATTAAAAAATATATTGAAGCATCCTAATTTTAGTAGCAAGGAATCTTTCTTTACCTTTCTACATTAGGCACTTGTCATAAACAGTGTCTGAGAGTGGGACACACCTGTGGACAGCCTGTCCTTCAGTCCTGATCACTTTGGATTTTCCCCACTGGGCACATGAAAATCTGTTCACTTCCTGAAGTTTATGGTGCAACTTGACCTGTCTCGTAGAGTTCCCTTGGTCCCTGTGGGTCTGGACTACTGACCTGAAGAAAGCTGGGACCAACTCTCCCATCTTCATCCAGTTTTATGGGCAGAGGGGACGGACGGATGAGATTCTCCTGAATCCCAACAACAAGTGGTTCAAACCAGGCATCATAGAGAAGTTTAGGGTAGGAGCGGAATGCGACAGGGCGGGAGGGAGAAAGGGGGAAGGGAGGGAGGGGATGTTGGTCATGAAGATTCTGGTTCTCTAAGCCAGGTGTTGGAGCAAGTTTGAAGACAAAAAGGTACAATGGAGATTTTAGGCCCCTGCAAAGGGTGACAGATTTGATGATTTATAGGCAAGGTATTGAATGGGGCATGATTTAGATCTGGCCCTTTGTCTGAATCAAACAGTCTAGACCTGAGCCTGGGGGAGGAAACAAGTATGGAAAGAATGGATTTAGACATCTGGGAATGGAGTGGCTTGGGGAATCATTGCAGAACAGAGACCCTGAGCACAGTGAGTGTTAGACTGGCCCAATCTGGACTCAATTAGAGAGTTAGGACCAAATTTAAGAGAAATTTTATGAATTTTAGAACATTTAAAAATAAATTTAGCTTTAAAGAATTTCAGTATATGTATAACTAGAGCAAAGCTTTTTTTTTTTTTTGGCCAGCAGAAGTGCTACTTCACCCATTAGATAGGAATAATTTGTAATTTGCCACTCTCCTCTCAGAACGGCCCATTGCTACCGATATCATAGCACTCAGTTCATCGCTCTTTATGTATTTGTCTTCCCTGATAGATGGTGGCCCTAGGGAAAGGCTATGACTGCTGTATTTATCTTTTTGTCTGTTTTGGTGCCCATCAGGGTCCTGGGGCTGTGGGCCTGTGGGAATTTGCAGGGCTGCCCTACAGATTTTGGTACTGGAAATTCATTGCTCGGAGGAGCTACTTTAGGCTGAATCCCACTGTGGGTCAGTTCTTTTTGTTCAGTTTCACCAGCCCAGACTGAGCCCCAGCTCTAAGTAGCTATCCTGCCCTCCAGTGCCACCAGTTACAAGGGTCACCAGAGGATGGGGTGTGTCTCTGCTGGGGAAACAGCCCTCAGCAGGTACCCACCTGCAGCAGGTAAGCTATGAGGATAAACGCATTTCCTTGGCTGCATCCACTCAAACCCTTTTATTTTTCACCATAGATTGAGCTCCCGGATATCGGCAGGTTTTATAAGATTCGGGTATGGCATGATAAGAGGAGTCCTGGTTCTGGATGGCATTTAGAAAGGGTGAGATGCACCTTCCTGGGGTTTGGGAGATCACTGGGAGAGGAACTGGAATGGTCCCTTTCTATGACCTTGTCACATAAATTTGCCTCTATATTTTTTGGACGTGGGTTACAAAAGGGCTGTGGTGAGACCTGAATTTGTATATAGGCGACAGGGACTTCTTGATAGGGAGAGATGGGGGGAGGACTTTCAAAGTAGATGCGAAAGTGCTCAGATGTTCAGGGGGCTTATGCTCTGCCCAGTTACCTGGCTGCCAAGCAATTGGGTCTTCGGGAGAGCAGGAGAAAAAACACTAACTTCGCCCTCTGCCTTCTGCAAGGATCATCTCCAGGAGATGGCCTTGGCCTCCCTGCAATGAGTTCCAGGGCATGGGTGACTATCTCTGGTACACATGCTTGCTCACCCCAGGAATTCCTTCCAGATGACCCTGATGAATACTCTGAACAAGGACAAGTATAACTTCAATTGCAACCGCTGGCTGGATGCCAACGAGGATGACAACGAGATTGTGAGGGAAATGACTGCAGAAGGCCCCACGGTGCGGAGGATAATGAGCAGTGAGTACTGACCAGCTCTCCATCCTGGGGAGGCAGTTTCCTACATGGTGTGCTAATGGGGGGTGGTGTGCGTCATCAGTCAGTCCCCTCTGAAAGCCAGAGTGGATTAGAAGGTCCCAGACTCAAGACTGGCTTGAAGGACCCATTGTCAAGGTGTGATGCTAGAGCTCTACTGGGATGGGCGTGGAGGGGCGGGAAGGAGATTTGTAGGTCTTCATGGTTGGATCTGAGGGCATGAGAAGAATCTGCACTGAATGGTGGTTCTCCAGAGCCTCCCTGAAATTAAAGGACATCTTCTTGGTGTCCTCAAATTATACATAAAATGCTCCCCTAAAGGAAAGCTGGATCTGAGCTCTTGTAGCCACACTTGGCTGCTACCTCATGATTCCTTTGCCTTTCTTTAAGAACCATAGGGGAGGGTCTAAGCCTTTACTCCGGAGTCCAGGATCCACATTTAAAGAGTCAGCGGGAGGTCATTTTGCTTCTAGGTTATCATAGCACATTGTTGGCAAATACATAACATGTGTCCTGTCCCTTTCCCATGGCAGACATTACTAAGTGATCACAACATTCTCTCCCACTGAGTCCGAAATGAGCTTGTAGCCCTCACTATAGCACTCCAAGCAGATATTAACAATTGATCAGAACTGGCACTTAAGATAACCTATTTGCTATCCTTGTGGTAGTCTTCCCTTTTTAATAGGAAAGTAATATTGCAAAATTACAAAGAGGTAAAAATATTTAAAAAACAGTGTCACTCACAGTTCCAGTAGCCCTTCTAAATATTTCAATAATGTCATTCACAGTTGATTGTGTGATATTTATCAACACTTTGCATTTGCACACCCAGCAGAAGCTCTGTATATATTTGCTGAAATGATTTGATCAGAGTTAAATACTCAAAAACATAGAAACCTCAAACAGCAAATATTTGTTAATAAAGAGAGATCATCCAGTCTGCTAGTCTAATTAGGTGATGCTTGTAATTAGCACCATGTTTCTTCTACTTTATGGTTCTTCTTCATTCTTAATTAAATAGATGACTGTAGAATATTTGTGTTCAAAGGCCCTTAAAATGGCCTGATACAGACAAGGAGCTGAAAGTTCTTGCCAGGGTTACACAGTTGGTTAGAGATAGAGTTAGACTAGAAAAGGGTCTCTCTTCTCCTGGCTCAGGGGCTATACCAAGATACCACCCTGGATTTTCACGTCCAGTGGCATTTTCTTTGGGAACAAGGCAATTATCTTCCTGTAAGTATAATAACATATAACCCCCTCAAATTGGGACTTAGTATAGTATGTAGTCCACCAAGGCAGAAATACACCTGTACTCACCTGTTTTGTCACTTTGTGTGCCAGAATTGAGCCTACAGGTGTAAAGAGCTATGGAGGGGGTCTTGGGACCTCACTGCTTTCTGAACCCTCCTAACCATTTCTCGGTCTCTGCTTCCACAGTTCCCTGGGGCTGTCCTTCCTGAGCCTTTTTTTGTGATTGCTTCTTGAATTTTGCAACTGGCGCCTCTGATCCACACTCTGGTCCGCTAAGTCAGGGGTTCTCGAACTTCAGCAGACATTGTCCCCTGGAAGGCTTATTAAAACACAGATTTCTGGGCCCCACTTGCAGAGTTTCTGGTCCAATAAGTGTGGAGAGAGACCCAGGAATCTTCTTGTCTAACAAATTTTTAGGTAGTGTCTGTGCAGCTGGTGGGGAGCCACCCTTTTAGAACTGTCGTGCTAAGACGTTTGCCACTTTCCTAGCTGCTCTCCGCCTTCCAAAATTTTGTTTCTATTGTCTATACTTTTCCCTTCCCCTAGCCTTGGTGGTGAAACCTTTTTTGTTTGGTTACATCTTGAAAAGAATTGCTAGATTGTCATTTTAGCCAGGTTTTTGCAGAGAGAACCCTGCCATTTTTACTTAGAATGTCTAGAATGTTCTTTACCTCTACCTGCTCCTTGACTGAAGCATGCCTGTCCCCCAAGAAGCCTGTTTTTCCTCCTCTTGAACCATGGGGCAGGCTGGGGAGGCCTTCTTCTGACGCCCCCTGCAGGGTCAGGCTCTTGCCTGGGCCCTCCTGGGAGGTTAATACCATCCAACGCTGTTGCCTTCTACCCGGGCTCAGTCTCCGCCTCTGTTGGCCTCTGGTCACTTCTCTTTCACTAAAGACAGCATAATGTGTCCCTTGGTTAATGTCTAGACACCAACCCTGCCATGGCCCTAGGACAGTATATTAGTTTGCTAGGGTTTCTGGAACAAAGCTCCATAGACGAGGTGACTTAAACAGCAGATGGCCTTCTTCTGGCTGTGTCCTCATGAGCTCGTCCCCCTGTGTGTGTGCACATCTGTGTCCTCATCTCCTCTTCTGTAAGGACACCAGTCATAGTGGATCAGGCTCCACCCATACTGCCTCCTTTTACCTTAATTACTACGTTGACCCTTTGTCCAAATCCAGGCACATTCTGAGTTACTGGGGGCTTAGGACTTCAATATATGAGTTTTGGAGGGGGGCACAATTTATCCCCAAATGGACAAACTTTTCAAAGTGTGGTCAAGGGCCTAGATATATATATATCAAAATTGCCTGGAGTGTTTGTTAAAATGCAGGTTCCTGGGCCCAACCCCAGATATGCTGGTTAGACTCTCTGAGGGCTATGCCTGGTAATGAGTATTTTATCAAGCATGCCAAGTAATTTTTATGAATACTAAAACCGAAGAGCCTTTGTCTGCTTCTTTCAATGTCCATGTGGAAGCCCCCTTGCCCACACCCTGGTGCTCACGTAGTCTGTTGGCCTCGCCCCCGCCCCATGCCTGCCACCTGCTCAGGATTCTGCAGAGTTGCCTCTTCTTTGAACCCTGCACCCCCGGCCCTCGGACCCAAGCTCCTGCCCTCCTAGCCCTTTCATCATGTGGTCTGTGTCATCTCACCCTTGAACTCCTTCCAGCTCCTTCTTCCCCACAGTCCTCCTGTCCTCCTGCTCTGTCGGGGGCTGTGCCACCCGTGGGGCCGTGGAGGGTGGATGTGTGCAAACCTACGGCAGTCATCCAGGGGAGAGAAGAAGAAGTCCTGTGATCCAGCAGAGATTGGCTAGACTATAGGGGAGAAGATATACTCAAGGAATATTTTGAAGGTGGAAGGGGCAGGACTCAGTGGGTGAATGCTGTGGAGACACAGTGGCTAGAGAAACTCCCTGTCCAGGACGTTGGGAGAATCTTTGCAGGTGAAGTGACATTTGAGCTAGGTCTTCTATGGGAAAGGATGTGACAGGTAAGGAGAGACGGTGGCAGGAGGGGTGGGGAGGAGGAGTATCTCTGCAGGTTACATATATGCACGTGCTTGTGAAGATTCTCAACAGTGTACGATGTGTGGGGCTACCCTCGCTATTATTTGTTTTTTGTCTTCTGTGATACTGTTAAAAAACCATTTCGATGAGCAAATAAACTCTGGTAATTATCATGGATTGAAGGGCTGTCTGTCCTGGCTACAAAGGCAGTGTGATGCTTTCTGGGGGTCTTTTGCAGTACTTGGAAGTCCATGCCAATTTGAATTTCTTTCTCCCCACTGCTCTTTCTGGACCATGGAAATTTCTCTTATGCTTGAAACAGTGCTATGTCCTTACTCAGCTCTATAAGTACTCAGATCCCCTAATCTGGTCCGAATATTTCTTTGTAACAGTAAATAGAGCTCATGGCAATATCCCATGTCCCCAGTTGGTATCAATGTATAATGAGTAATGTGCAAGGCTTCCTGGAAATCCCTTAGGTGGAGAGTCTTGGACTCATGTAAAATGAGTAAATACCAATTTAAAATCAATTCTCTGAATTTGAAGTTCTGTGTCCCTAGTTTACTTACAAATTAAGGGCCAGCCAAATAAGCAATTAATGGCATGCCTGAGAGCCAAGTGGCTTTTGGGAGTGATTGTACTGATCAGCACAGATCCGGAGACATGGACAACACACGTACCAGCTCACAATTTATTTCCACCTTGCCTTTCCCTCAGGAGCTATGTAAGATAGTAAAACAAATGAGTTCGGCACTCTCCACCGTGTGCCTGGCAGAAGTGATTACATACCACTCATGAGCGGGCAACAGACCATCGGACTCGAGTGCTGAAAATCACAGCTTCTCATTAATCAGGCTGAGCTGTAATTTTTAAATTAAAGTATAAGAGGCTTCGGTACTTACGCATCTGTTTAAAGTCTTTCACTGCTGATATCTAACAATATAATTATTTTTAATTATTCACAAACTTCCTGCCAGGAAGGACCTCAGGGGCTGGGGGAGGGGTGGGGTGGGGAGAGAGGGTTCAGAGGAACCCCTAGAGAGAACCAAGACCCTTGAGAACTTTCAACCCAATGGACCTCAGAGCTCCTGAAGCAAGTGGATTGGGATGCCCAGGCAAAGGGGATTTCTCAATTTCTTCATTATTTCTCTTCTGGGAATTACCTAATAGTTACAACTAAAAAGCAGCAGAACTAACCTTCATGACAATCAAGACTGAAGCGAGGCTGATGTCGAGGCCGTTCCTTCCCGGCTGTGCCCCAAACTCCCACGGCCCAGTCGTCAGTCGATGCTGTCCTGTTGACGCTTCCGATCATTGAGAGCTTTGCACAAAAGAATCAACCTCATTTACACAAAGACTGATGATTTAAAGCATTTAGCATTTGAATTTTAAAAGAGTTGACTAGGGAAGACTATAATGGTTGAATTTCAGGTGCTCTGGCCCTATGAGGTGACCATGCTAGGGGGCAGAAGACTTTCCCCAAACTGTAAGTGCCTACCTATGACAGCTCTACTCAAGACAGGCCCCCATCTACAGCCATTCTTTGCCTCTTCTTCTAATAAGTGGTTTTGTTACAGACACTGTATCTTTGTGTGCCCATATGTTTAATGGTCACATTTACTTTTCAGATGTTTCTACACTCCAAATAAAACTGGGTATATTACTGAAAAATATTTTGTACATTCAGTTAAACTTCCTGGTGATTTGTCTCATTCCTGATATACTTTATTTTCATTTTAGATGCGCTACCAATGAATAGTGACAATTTTCAAAAGCAACAGCTTTATTGATATATAATCCATGTGTCCTACAATTCACCCATTTAAAGTGTACAAGTCAATGCCTTTTATTATATTGATCACCTATAACCACTATCAAATTCCAGAGTATTTTTTCTCCCCAAAAGAGAAACCCCATACCCATTATCAATCATACATATTTCTCCACCTTAACCCTCAGCATCTGCAACTACTAATCTACTTTTTGCCTCTGTAGATTTGCCTATTCTGAGCATTTCATATAAATGGAATCATACAATATGTGACCTTTCACCCATGTTGTAGTATGTATAAGTTTATTTTTATTGTTGAATACTATTTCACTGTATGGGTATACCACATTTAACTTGAGCATTTAAGTTGTTTTTTTTTTTTTTTGGTTATGAATAATGCTGCAATGAACATCCATGTACAAGTTTTTGTGCCGACATGTTTTCACTTCTCTTGGGCACATATGTAGGAGTGAAATCGCTGGCTCATATGGTAACTCTTTGGTTAACGTTTTAAGGAACTGTCAAATTATTTTTCAAAAGAACAGCTGCACTATTTTACATTCTTACCAGTAAGGTATGAGACTTCCAATTTCTCTGCATCCTCACCAACAATTCATTACCTTTTCTGATGCTTTTTATTCCTCCAGGTGATTTGAAGTTATTGTCTAATGTTTATCTAGTGTCTAATATGGAGATTTTCCTTTAATATTTCTCATAGGATAGGTCCATTAATGATGATTTTTGCAGTGTTTGTGCAAGTTTCCAACTACTTCACAGTGTTTGTGAAGTTTCTACTTCATTTTTGAAGGGTAGTTTTAGTGGATATGTAATTCTTGGTTAATGGTCTTTTTCTTTTAGCACATTAAATATATCATCCCATTGCCTTCTGGCTTCCATAGATTCAGATGAGAAGTCAGCTGTTAATTTTATTGAGGATTCCTTGTGTGTAATGAGTCACTTTTCTGTTGTTCCTTTCAAGATTCTCACTTTGTCTTTGGCTCTCAACGGTTTGACTATGATGTGTCTGTGTGTAGATCTCTTGGAATTTATGCTACTTGAAATTTGTTGAGCATGTTGGATGTGCAGATGAATTTTTTAAACCAAATTTTGTAGGGTTTTGGACATTATTTCTTCAAATATTCTTTCAATTCTTGTCTACATATTCACTGTAGGGGATTTCATCTGATCCCATGGCTTTAAATGGAATCCATATGCCTGTGATGACCAAAGTCATGTCACTATTCCTGACCTTCCAGACACATTCAACTGCCATCTTGACTTCTGTTTTTGAACATCTAATAGACATCTCAAATTTATAATAAACAAAACAGAACCATTGGTTTCCATCTCCAAACCCATCCTTCCCACAAGACTTCCCTACTTTTTATTGGCAACTCTATCCACCTAGTTGCCCAAGCCCAAGACTTGGAAGTCATCCATGATTCCTCTCTTTCCCTCAATTACCTGTTTGATCCATCACCAAGAACTATTTGCTCTATGTATCAAATATATTGCTGATCTATTGACTTCTTTACATCTCCACTGCACCCCCAATCCTAGGCACCAGCCTCTCTTTTCTAGACTACTGTAATTATTTCACCAACTGGCCTCTTTGATCCAATTCCTTCTTCCTCTACAGTCATTTCTCCACATGGCAGCCAGAGTGCTCCTTAAAAAATAGATCAGCTCAAGTCACTTCCTTGCTTAGAGCCCTCTAATGTCTTCCTGTTGTACAATAAAATAAAATGAAATAAAATAGACACCACACTTCTTATCTTGACCTGCTGCATCCCATGTGCCTGGCTTCTGTCTACCTCTAGGCCTTATCTCATATCCTTTCCCACTCCATCTACTTCAGCCATTTGGGCCTTCCCTCTACTCCTGGAACATACATTGGTCATCCCCGTACTGGTGCCTTTGCACTTGCCACAACTATCTTCTCTCAGAGCTTCTTGTGCTGGTTCCTATGACTGACTTTATAGCTCAAATGTTACCTCCTTGTAGCCATCTTTTCTGCATCTCTAAATAATCTTTCTCCTCTTGCTCCACTTCTCCCTACTCTGAGATATCACTACATTATATTATCTTTGTTACAAATATAACTCAGAAATTTTCCTGTCCATGAAGTTGTTTATGATTTTACTATCCATCTCTCTTCTCTACTCCTTTACTCTCAACTCTAATGTAAGCTCCATGGAAGCAGGAGTTTGTCTTGTTCACTGCTGAACCCTTGAGCCTATAATGGTGCCTACCACATAGTAGGCTTAACTAAAGAGATTTGGGATGAATGAATGAATTTCACTTTTCAGCTTAAGAGAGAAGGAGGGCTGTGGTATGCAGGAATGCAGGTCCAGCTCCACCACAGTACATTTTCAACATGGGACAAAGCTGCTGCCCTTCCCACATGGCTGCATTTCATGCCTTTCTCTCTTCTCCTCTTCCTTGCCTGTCCTTAGCATCAGCCAGTTCTGAAGAGAAAGGGAAGGCTCAGTACTGGTTCAGGAAGAAAAGTTATCTTACTTGAGAAGACAGGACATGTGTGAATTGGAGAACAGCCTAAGGGAAAAGGGTTTACTGAGTTGGATGAAATCAGGGTCCATGATATTTGGATTAGACCAGTGGTCCCTCAAAATGGCCAACTCCATCAGAGTCCCCTGAAGGAGCTTGCAAACAATTCAGTTTTAGGAGTCCTGCGTTTGGAGATTAAGATTTAGGAAGTCTGAAGTGGGGCTCAAGAATCTAAATTTTTATAAAAGTTTTCTGGGAGATTCTGTGGATTGGTGAGATTGGAAACTTCTAGTCTGTAAGGGACTTGGGGATGAGCCAGCTCTTGACTGGGGTGTGGTGGGATCTGGAGAGCTGGGGGCAAGGAGTAAGGCCAGCCCCAAGGACAGCTGTGGGGAGAGGAGGACGCTGAGCTAAGAAGTAGGAGTGGCAGGGATAGGGTTGGGGAGTAGGAGCTGTCATCAATGGTGTCCCTCTCTCTGCCTGCCAGTGGCTCGGTACCGTGTGACCGTATGCACAGGGGAACTCGAAGGTGCGGGGACTGATGCCAACGTCTACCTGTGCCTTTTTGGTGACGTGGGGGACACAGGGGAGCGGCTGCTCTACAACTGCAGGAATAACACTGACCTATTTGAAAAGGGCAATGTAAGTCACAGCAATGTGCCACCACTCTCCCATGCTCCCTGCCTTCCTCCTCCCCCCTTTCATTGTTCCTTTGTCTTCCCTGCTCTGCTAAAGTTGAGCTGATGGCTAGTATTGGGGCCTCAGCCATCAGAGAGCCATCACTCTGGGTGAAGGAAATGGAGAACTGGGGAATCCCAGTAGAGCCACTGGAGGGGCATAGCAGAGCCTGGTTCATGGGGTTCTCGAGCATTTGGCCAACCTTATTCACTAGCATGCATGAATACCTGCTAGACTCCTAGGACTACCCAGCTAGGAGCTGGAGAGCCACCCTAGAGGGGTCATTGTCTCCTCCCTACCCCTGAGCTTTGAGAAAAGGGCAGAACAGAAGGACATTTGGAGAGAGGGTAGTGTCAGCATATTTCTTGCCTCAGAGGTAGGTGGAAGGAGAAGGATGCTGAGTGTCTTAATTATGGGCCAGAGGACCCAGGCTGCAGGAAGGCTGGGTACCCTGTGGCCAATGTGGGACCTCTGCATTCTCCTCTAGGCATGGCCACTGTGGACATCTTGTTCATGTCCATTATGAAAGAGAAACCAAGACCCTAAAGATGGAGGTGCAGAACTTGGCTCTGTTGTTACCCTTATCACAAATGTGCTGGCTTCTCCCCTCTGTTTCCCAAATCATCAAATAGGTTTTCTGGGGAAGCAATGGGGAAAGAGTCAGGCAGGTCTGAGGGCAAACCCAGCCTCAGGCCAACCACTCTGTCTCCCTGATCCTCAGTTTCCTGGCATCTAAAATGGGGAAAAGGATGCCTACCTGTGTCTGGTTGTTGTGAAGATTTGGAATGGAAGATGTGCTGTCTCTGGGCCCAGACCTGGCCCCCAGAGCACAGTAGATGCTGAGTTGTTGCCAAAAAGTGAGGCTGAAGGGAGCTCAACAGGTGAAGGGGATTTGCGGACTATTGCTCTGTTTCCTTCCTTTGCTGCCCCTTCCTTGCTGAGGGCAGGGAAAGCCCTGGAATTTGAGTGGCAGCCTCTGTTTGAGGCTAATCCAAGTCGGCCTGATTCTTGGGATCATGGGCAATTCAAGGCTGTGGTGGCAAAAATAATCTGAGCAGGATGTTGTGGGTGGACTCAGGTTCATCTGGGGAGAAGAGATGGAGATGCCTTTACTTCACATAGCTTTTAAAATTTCCTCTCTCCTTCCCACCCACCCACCTTTCTCTCCACCCTTTCCTACTCTTTCCTCCTACATCTTCTGGAGCCTTTGTCCATCATTCCCACCTTCAGTGTTCCTGTCCCTGAAGGCTCCCAGGTGAGCTCATGCAGACATGGAAGCCATCCAGCCCCTCCTGCATTTCTGCTGCCTTGGTAGCTGGCAAAACTGTGACGTTAGCAAGGCCACCTGTTTCCCCCACTCAGTTCTAAACCTTCCCTTCCTCAGGAGGGAGACAGTATCCTTCCACAGCAAGGAGCCAGAGGAGATTCACCAAGGAATTAATTCATGATAAATGATTAGCGACTGATGATGGCTTAATGTGCTTATTCTCCCAGGAGAAGCTGCCTTTTAAGAGGAGAACATAGAGAATGGCCATTGTTTAACCAAAAAAATATAGCCTCAATTGTTGGGCACTTGACATTGAACGGTATTCCCATGGGGGAAGTGGGGGCGAGGTGTAACCTGTTCTTTATAGGTAGCCCCTGTCTTACATGTGAAAGACCAGTAGCCCAACCCATCAGCTCTGGCTTTTCTGACTTCTGGGCCTGTGTCTTCCTTTGGTGTTTGGGTCCCGGGGTAGCCACCACCCAACTGGCCTTGTGCTCTTTCTTCCCCGAAGGCTGATGAGTTCACCATTGAGTCTGTCACCATGCGGATGGTGAGGCGGGTGAGGATCCGGCACGATGGCAAAGGCTCGGGCAGCGGCTGGTACCTGGACCGGGTGCTGGTGAGAGAGGAGGGGCAGCCCGAGAGCGACAATGTGGAGTTCCCATGTCTCAGGTACTCGAGTCCTACCTGTTTGTGTTTCCTCCAGCTAAGGTTATGGTCCCTGAGCTTTGGAAACATGCAGTCCTACTGCTAGGACCAGCAAGCACATAGTGGCTTAAGGCTGTAGCTGGTCCAAGAAGGAGGTGGCTTTGCTGGTGGCACTCAGACCTGAGCCTCACACCTCCCTGCCCCTGGTGATGAAACACCAATATTGGGGGGGTGGGGTCCAGGGTGCTGCTACTTTATGCTATTTAAGTACCAAAATGCCAGTATTTTTTCATGGTAAAATTTGACAATTTCAGAATTTAAGTGAGAATTATCTCAGAGAGTTCATTACATATTGAATTAAACTTTTGAATCAAAAGTGGTTTTTATTTCAATAGCCTTCTGACCACATCTCTTCCTTGTTAACTTCTTTTCAAGGTACCTTACTTTGTTCCTATTTCTTTTCTTCAACTTATTATTGAGGTAAAGTTTCTCTTTTCTTTCTTCTTAAGCATTTGGATTTCTTACATAGCCAGCTTGGGCTCCCATTGACTTCCGGAAGTCCCTGATGGAGACATTTTAAAAGGAAGAGCAATATCAGTTTTTTTTGTGTCACCAAGGTGGCCCTCCGCATTCACATGCGGCAACGTCTGGGAGGTGCACCAAGGGGCAGTATGACTGGGGGCCTTGGACCCACCTGGCCCTACCAAACCCAGCTCCAGGGCTGAGTTCTGCACCTACAGTCGCTGCATGTCCAGTTCATTAGGTCTGGCCTAGGGCTTCCTGAGGGTGGCCGCACTGATAACAGCCCTCCTTTGAGCAGATAGGAGCCAAGTTGCACAACCGCCCTGCAGGGAGTGCATTGCTTTTCCTTGACCATGCACACAAATGCACTCGTGCACACGCCTGTGCACACAGGCACACAAGCACAGATGAACTGCTTATTGCCCCATGAGCCCAGGCAGAACAGCTTCCCAGCCACTGGGAGGATCCCACAGGACAGTGATTTTGAAACTATTTTGTCAATGACAAAGAGCTCTAAGTCTTCTAAGAAGAGCCACTGTTAGTAATACGAGGGATTATGTTGGAAAGGTAGGTGAGAAGGCAGGTGGTTCCAAATGAGTGGCACTAACAGAAAGGGGCTCAGAGTAAGGGCTGGGGAGGCCAGGCAGGGCTTCCAGGAAGAGGGAGAACTGGACCTCGGCCTGGAAGGGCGGTCGGAGAGTTGACAGTTGCAGAGGAGAAGGGAGGGTGGGCCATCGAGGCTGGGAAATAGCAGGAGGCCATGGTGCAAGAGGCCCAGGGCCTGGCTCACACAGAGGCTGATAAGGGGCACCTGGCACATGGGGAAGAAGCAAGAAGGACAGAGTGGGAGAAGGCTGCCCTCAGTCTCCCAAGCCATGGAGGAGTGGTGGCGGAGGGGTACAGCCACCGTTCAAGTCATCATGGGTTTGTTCACCCCCTCCTGCATGGTGGATGGAAGAGCCTGCATTGTTTTATTCCTATCCATTCTAAAGATGTTAATTAAGCACTTCCTATAGACTTGCTCCATGTCCTCATGGAGCGTATGGTCTAGAGTGGAAATAGACAATAAGCAAGAGAATAAATAAAGCCATCATGACCCACTGCGCATGAACGGCAGAGAGGATGGGGAGTGACCACTCCAAGACAGGGCAGGCTGGACACAAGGAGGCCTGTCTAGGCAGGGACTGTCCAGCTGGCTTCCCATGGGGTGAGGAGGAGAGCACCAGGGAAGGGTTCAACTGCTCTAAAATCCAGTGAGATGGAGCAGGTGGATGGAGGCCACGGTCAGGCAGGGCTGCGTGGGCCTCCTGCACTCGAGCAGGGTCTGTCTGGCTTCTCGGGAGGACGGAGCCCAGGGAGGAAGCCGGGGGCCCAGCGGGAGATTCTGTGGAGTGCACAACAGTGTGGTGTGTGCTGGGGTTGCCACACCAAAGTACCACAGACGGGCGATGGCAAACAACAGAAATCTATCGTCTCGCAGTTCTGGAGGCCGGAAGTCCCACATCAAGGTGCCGACAGGGCCGTGCTCCCTCTGCAGGTGCTCTGAGCAGGCAGGATCTGTGCCAGCCTCTGTCTTGGCTTCTGGCAGCCTCCAGGGCTCCTTGGCTTGTAATTAGCCATCTTCTCTTTGTCGTCTGTTCACACTGTCTTCCCTCTGTGCGCGTCTGTCTCTGTGTCCACGCTTCCCCTTTGTCTATGGACACCAGTCATGTTGGGTGAGGGCTCAGTCCGGTGACCTCATCTCACCTTGATCACATCTGCAAAGACCTTGTTTCCAGATGAGGACACATCCTGAGGTACTGGGGGTTAGGATTTCAGCACATGCATGGGGGGACAATTCAGTTCACAGCATGGCAGCCTGGCCCTGGGTGGTGGCAGTGAAGGGGGTGAGAAGGGACTGACTACACCAGAAGTGACGCTGGAGGTAGAGTCGAGGTGAGATTGGACGACAAGAGAGAGGCCAGAACTGAAGACCCCAGGTTTCCACCTTTGGTAGGTGGGTCAAAGGTCATGCCTGGCGGGGAAGATTGAGGGGTGAGGATGAGGCTGGATTCTGGAGGTCTAGCTGGGACATGTTATGTTTGAGATGCAGAGTGAGGCCTTGAGAAACAGATGCAGGGAGTAAGAGCAGAGAGAGACAGAGAGAATTTAAAGCCAGGGGAATTCATGGCATCTTTAGGGAAAGTGTGGATTAAGAAAATGGTGGGGATGGAGGCCTAGGGCGGGGCAGGAAGAGGACCGCAATCCTGGAAAGGGATAAGGAAGAGGTTGGCATGTGCACACTGCACTGTCACAGGCATGGTGCCCCGGGGAGCTCAGAACCTCAGGAGGCTAGCCACCCACCTGAAGTGTTACTTTGGCCCAATCTCTCAACGTCTCTGGTCTTCTGCACCCTCCTAACCAGCATAAGGGGCATAGCGAGGGTGAGGGTCTTGCACTTTGAAAGGAGCCAAGCCCACTAAAGACACACATATGGAGATGCAGATGGCACAATAGGAGCTGAGGCCCCCAGACACCCCAGAGCCCCCTCCACCGCCCTCCAACACTTGTGATCATGCATATTTTTAAGAAAATGAGTTCCTACATCTTGCTGAGGCACGTGGAGATGGCATTTGCCAACTCAGGACCCCAGAGGGCTTTGGAGAACCCAGGGCTAGAGCCTGTGTTTGCACACTGCTGCTTTCCTCACCTGAGCTGTTACTTTAACTCTCTTGGAGAGGACGGCAGACCAGGCCTGTTTATCAGAACTCCTCTTCTGCCAGGATCAAGCAGTGCCAAGCATCTTAGCTCTAGCAGGTGTGTGTGTGTGTGTGTGTGTGTGTGTGTGTGTGTGTGTGCATACAAGCACATTCCTGCAAGCCCAGGGAAAGAGTAATGAAATCACCAGCAGACAAACTTATCCTTTTAGCATCATCTCACTCTGAAACTGGGCTGAAGTGTTTGAAGCTGAAAGAAAACGGCTATATTTGGAAATCTCTATTAATACCCTGCAAGTATTTAGGTGGAAACAAAATGACAAGTCATGGTTTCCTTGTACTGCTGGGGAGGGGCAGGGGCTGGAGAGTGCGGGAGGGAGTGAGGGTGCCCAGATGGGATTTTCCAACTCCCCGCCCTGTGGGTCCCCGGCCAGGGTGCCACCAAAGCCTCCTCCCCCACACTCCCAATGGTTGAGGGGTGGCAGCGTGACCTCAGCAGGACAGACAGATGGATAGCGTCCTAATGGGTTGATTTGAGGGACTCCAGTCTAGCAGACCCCTGTTCCCAAATTCCCCTGCCATTCATGCCTAGAATTCTCCATTGTATCTTCATGTCTTGGAATCTCAAACACTCTTCTGGTGTTCGAGACTCACAGCCCCAGAGCCCATGGGAAGTGTAACGGCTTCGCCGGCGGCTAACATCTTAGCATTCGCTAACAGCCAGCTCACAGCATGGCCTCGTGGGAGTGTAAGATTGTTTGGGGAAGGAGGGCGAGAGAGAAGGGTTTAAGGAAATCACATGTTGCCTCTGTTGGCCCTGGGGCGGGGGTGGTCTATTAGCAGAGAGAACTGCCGCGTAGGGAGGCCTGAGCTCCACGCCAGGAGGGCTGTGGAGAAATTGGTGCCCTGGCTTCCTTTATGGGCTCTGTGGCCAGGGAGAGCCTCTGTCCCAAGAGTGCAATTGGGTGGGCTTCAAAGCCAAGTGCCAAGACACAGACAAATGAAATGCTCTGGCCAAGAGACAATGTCTCAGTTTCCCCAATACGCTGGAAGACACCAATGGCGTCTGCTCTGCTGTCATTGTCCCCATCACAAGCCATCTCCAGTGTGGGGCTCAGCAACTCCTGCTTGCTCAATTGTGGTATTTCTCAGGCTGGTCTCTGTGCTCAGAGGGAAAAGTGCTTTTCAGGTGAATGACCCAATGCCTCTCCCTGGAGGTTGGCCAGTGGAAAGCTGGGACCGAGGCTCACTCTGACATATTGAGTCACAGCTGTCAAACCCCAGCCCACAGGGCACAGACTTGGCTTCTGTTTGAATGCAAATCTCATCCATCCTTGAGGACTCAGATCAAAGCCAAGTCCCTGAGAGCCCCTCTTCTCACATCTCCAAACTCCTGTAGCACTTACTTTGGGCCAACATCCATCTCCTGCAACCTGTCCCCTCTCTGGCCTCCTCTGCCAGGTCTCTGCCCTTCACCCACCTCATTCCATCCATGTGGGCCCTCTGTCAGCTCCTGAGGCTCCAGTCCATGCCACAGTCTGCCGTTGCCTCTGGAATGCTCCTCCCTCTCCTCCTGCTTAACTCCTGTCATCCTTCCAATCTCAGCCAAATACCACCTCCCAGGAAGTCCTCCTTCCCAGCCTGGGGTGGGGTGCTCTGTTAGGGGCTTCCATGGAATCATTTTCCTTTGCTGACTTCAAAGCTCTGGTCTCCCTGGTGCAGGCACAAATGGCACGCTGGTTTGACTCTCTGTCCGCCCCACGCAGAACGCTAACCTCCCCCCCATTGCCCCGCAGGTGGCTGGACAAGGACAAGGACGATGGGCAGCTGGTCCGAGAGTTGCTGCCCAGCGATAGCAACGCGACACTGAAGAGTGAGTTGTCCTGACGACCAGGTGCTGGGTGTGCCGTGGTGAGACAGGCGCCTTCCCTCAGCCCTTGGAAAAAGCATGTGCTCGTCACATTGCAGAGGAGGAGTACAGGGGCGGGCGTCTGTGCTGTGTACACGATCTCTTTGTGGCCTCGGATGTGAGTCCCTGAATGCACACGGGTCAACAGAATGACAAGAAAAATAACACTGGCTAGTGGTGCCAAGCACTGGGGGTACCTGTCATTCAGGCCTTGGGAGGATAACACATTTTGAAGGGAATATAAAATGAGGATTTACAAAACATGCTGCATATTATATGGGGGGCCTTATTGTCTTTTTTACTGGTGATGTTTCTTCAGGTGCCTTGGTTTGCCCATGAGCTTTAGACAAAGCTTAAAACAAACTTGTCTCCAGAATGGTCACCGATACCAACACCCCATTTTAATCATTTATTACTCACCTGAGCTCCACAATAGCCTGAGAATATGGGCAGAGGTGATGTCCATTCATCAGATGGGGAGACTGAGATCTGGAGGGACTGAAGATATTTATATCTGACCTTTCCTAGGGTCAGATTGCAGAGCTGGAGCTACAGTGTCCAGTCTCTGGGCTCAGAATACAGAATTTAGGAGTCGAGAAGGACTTAGGGGGCGAGATGCCCACATCTGTGGCGAGGGTTTGCAGTCAGTGTGGGGGTGGGACTGGTACCCAGGGTGTCTCTGTCCTATATCACTGCTCTTCCACCCCCGCCAGCATCCGCTTCACCATGTGGACATGGCCTCTGAATCCTTGCTTCCCAAGTCAGAGCCTTTGAAAGGGTGCAAGTGGAAAATGGGGTGAGGAAGGGGTCTTCTCAGTTCCTGCTACATCTTTCAGCAAGCAGGACAGAAGCCATTTCCTTGAGTGCCTTTGGATGTCCCTTATGGGGCTGATCTGGACCAGACCACAGGGCTGGCCTTTCCCAGGGCCTAGCTGGTCTGCAGGGCTGCCCCCCGGGCAAGGTGTGCTCAGCTCTCTCTCTCCAGATCTTTCTCCCCAGCTCTTCAGATCTTTCTACCCAGTGGGAAGATCCTAAGGCAGCAGCGGTGTTGGGCTTGGGAATGATCACTGTCTTCTCAGTGCTTCCTCTTCTTTCCCCAAGACACAGCCCCTGGAGCAAGCCCGGAGGACTTTGGGTCTCTGCTCATGCCATCCCAGGGCTCACCTTTGCCTCAGGTGTTCTCAGTCTTGCACACAGATGACGCAGACCTTCCTGGATGATAAAATGCACTGACACCCACCTGGCGGCCCAGGGACAAGCAGGAGCTTCAGGTCCCCATTAGGATTTCACTCCCAGCTGGTGACTTACTCACTGTTGCCATCCTGCACCAAACACACGACCTTCTGAGGCTAAGACTCCTCGCTGTAAACCGGGGTCAGAACACTTAACAATAAGATGAGCTACATGCCGTCTGGAGAGGCCATGCTCCTCTTACCTCAGTTTCCTCATCTGTCATGGAGAAGCTGGACAGGGTATCGCTAAGCCCCTTTCAGTGTCTTAAATGTTGCGGCTCTTGCCTGTAGTTTGCACACTTTCCTGTTCTCACACCTTCTGGAGGAGGCAGGGAACCTACTAGAATTTCGATTTTGTGGATGTGGGAGCTCCACATAGATGGAGGGAGCCCTGCAACCAACTCCTGCACTAACCCCTCCCTTCCTCCCTCTGCCTTGGGCCACCCAGACTTTCGATACCACATCAGCTTGAAGACCGGGGATGTCCCTGGGGCCAGCACGGATTCTAGAGTCTACATCAAGCTCTATGGGGACAAATCTGACACCATCAAGCAAGTGCTTCTCGTCTCTGACAACAACCTTAAAGACTATTTTGAACGTGGCCGAGTGGACGAGTTCACCCTTGAGACCCTGAACATTGGAACTGTAAGTTTCCTTCCTGAGATCATGTGACATCACGCCACCCATTCCCCTACATGCGTTCACACATGTGTCTGCACACGTGTGTACACGCACACGAGGTGGCAAGGGAGAGGTTGGTCCATGTGAAATCCACCCGGTTTGCTACCTGCTGCTTACTGGCGTTAGCCTCCTACCCTCCCAGCATCTGGGAGACACCTGTCCTCGGGTGTTGGCTGGAACCAACAGTAAGTCCTTTTGACAACCTTGAGTTTTCTCAGGCAGGCACTTTAAGGGGGATTAGGCTCAACCTAGGAATGTGGCCTTGAGTTGTTAGGTACTATGTTAGTGTTTTGTTCAGGTCTTTGTATGCCAAGGTTGAGGCTTAGTTGAGAAAGGGCTCAGGGGGTCTGGGAGTTTGGTCAAGGTGAGAATCTTTCTTGACTCTACCTGGAGAAACACAGGTCTAAATCCTGGACGTGAGCACTGGGGGTGTCTAGAAATGTCTGAGCTGGGATTTGTGTTATCACTGGCCCCTTTCAGGGTGTGGCTTGGTGGAAATTGAGATGGTGACAAGCCCTCTGCCTGCGCCTCATCTTTCCTGCCTGTCCCCTCTCCCTAAGCCCCACCCTGCTTTGGGCCCTGAGCTCTCTTCTCCCATCAACATTTATTCTCAGGAAAAAAAAAAATCTCATGTCAGTCATTGATACCTTGAGGTTAATGAACTTAAATCAAAGCTTCCTTTGATCTGAATGTATTTACATTTTAAGCTGAATTAATCATTGCAGAGTGGAAATGCTGGTCCCCTTACTAAAGGGTTTCTGGCAGCAGCCAGCAGATAAATGAGACGTCTGCAAAGAGCGGGTGGTGGTGGGAGGGTGTTTGGGCCCCTCCTTGAGTTTCTAAAACTCCCTCATTGAGCAATGCTGGGCCAGTGGGGCCGGAAGTTGGGGGCGTGGCTCTGGCTGCCAGGCACCTGTTCTGAGGCCCAGCACTTCTCTTAGCTGCTGAGTGTAAGTTACTCAACCTCTGTTTCATCGGTTTTCTCATTCACAACAACCGGGGACCCTCATGGGGCTGTTACCAGCTTTAACTATGTGAATAACACCCACATGCTCACACTAAGTGCTTAGTAAAAGCTACTGAGCCATCGCTCCATGTCAAGTGTGAAGTGTTGTGGAGCTAAGACAGCACCTGCCCTAGGGAGCTTCCAGTCTTAGCAGGTAGAAGACACCTGCCCCTGTCTTCACGCTTTCAGCTGATCCCTTCCTGGGACTGTCTCAGTCCTGTCGTCATGGAAAGACAACAAAACTCTCCCCTGCTCCTTGGCATGCACCCAGAGGGCTCTCAGGCTTTGCCAACGTAGCTTGTTCCCTTCCGACCATTCCAGGGGACCCGGCTACATGCACTCAGCTGTGACAGTGTTGCCATTACTAACCGCAAAGAGGCACTTAGCGCTGGGAAAGTGAGAGCTGGGCTCGAGTGGACAATTTTCTAAACTGGCCTTTTGGCACCAGATGCAAAGCTGTGTCACCTCTCCAGACACTCACAGAGAGAATCTCGGGGCTGTAAGGGCTCTTGAAGGTCATCTGAAAATTCCATCTGATGTTAAAATTACCCTGAATATAGCATTTGAAAAAGCATAAAAGCAGTGTAAACATTGCAAAGGCAAGCAGATGAGGGCTGTCTGGAAAGTATCTAGACCTTGTTAATGTAATGAAAACATACTTACGTGGCTGGATACTTTCTGGACCGCCCTTGTATATAAGGATGGTGATGCGATCGGCTACACTCTCATCTATGTCGCCTGCGGGCAGAGATGTTGAAGTGTAAAGTAGCGAGGCAACCATAGAGTGTTCCTGGAAAAACAATAATGTTCTCTAGGTTCAAGAGTGGGAGGAGGAATTGGACACAGAACCACAGAGCCCTGAGAGGCTGTCTGCATATCCTGTCACATACAGGATGGCTCTGTCAAAGACAAAATGCAGAAATATGTACAATTAACGTATTGCTTAAAACAAAACAAAACCAAATGGATGACACAGTTATCAGAAGGTGACGGCCAGCATCTTGAGCATTTGCTTTCTCGTGCGACCACAATTTAACGTCACTAAGGACTAGTGGAGCTTTCAACGTTCATGCCACACTTGCTTCCTGCTCGCTTCTCACCGTGGCCCCAGGAGGGGAGGAGTGCACTGGACTTAGGAGGAGGGTAGGGAGGCTCCGGGAAGGAGAGGGGACCTCCTAGTCCCCAGCTGGCTGGTAGCAGGGAGAGGACTGGGACCCAGCCTCTCCCAAGGAACCGGGGACCAGGGTTGAGGACAGTTGTTTACACTGGGGTTTAGGGAGGTAGGGATGGGGACACGGAGGTTTCTACACAGCCAGCTCCTTGTTCTTGCTCACTTGGGTTTCCTTCAGATCAACCGGCTGGTGATCGGGCACGACAGCACGGGCTTGCATGCAAGCTGGTTCCTGGGCAGCGTCCAGATCCGCGTGCCCCGCCAAGGCAAGCAGTACACCTTCCCTGCCAACCGCTGGTTGGACAAGAACCAGGCCGATGGGCGCCTGGAGGTGGAGCTCTATCCCAGCGAGGTCGTGGAGATCCAGAAATGTATGGAGGAGGCGGTGGGGGACTGTTGGCATTGCTTTCCCCATGGGGCGGGGCCCAGGGAAGGGGGGGGACTCTGGGGCAATTTGAGTCTTGTCTCCAAGTGGTGGTGGTGGGGATCCTGGGGGAGGGGAATAGGGACTGCCAACTGTCTTGTACCATGGTGCTGGGAGGGGAGAAGGACTCATTTTACAGATGGGAAAACTGAGGGCTCAATGCATGAAACATTTTTTTTCTTGGATAAGGACAGCAAATGAGCATTATCCCCCTTCCCCTTTAAACATTCTTTTTTTAAATTTCAGAATATTATGGGGATACACACATTTTGGTTGCATGAATTACTTTTGTACAGTTTGAGTCAAAGGTATAAGTGTTACCTTCACCCAGACAGTATGCATTGTGCTCATTAGGTGTGAATTTACCCATCCCCTCCTTCCTCCCTCCCACCTGCTTGATTTTTGTTGCGTTTTACTTCCATATGTGCACATGAGTGCTGATCAATTAGTGCCAATGTAGTACTGAGTGTTGTTTGTTTTTCCATTCTTGTGATGCTTCACTTAGAAGAATGGTCTCCAGTTCCATCCAGGTTGTTACAAAAGATACTAGATCACCATTTTTTTGTGGCTGAGTAGAAAACTCCATTGTATACAAATACCACATTTTATTAATCCACTCATGTACTTGGGTTGTTTCCACATCTTTGTGATTGCGAATTGTGCCACTATAAACATTTGAGTGCAAGTGTCTTTTTTTATAAAATGTCTTTTTTTTCCCTTTGGGTAAATACCCAGTAGTGGGATTGCTGGATCAAATGACAGGTCTACTTTTAGTTCTTTGAGGCATCTCCACACCACTTTCCCTAGAAGTTGTACTGGTTTCCTGCTTAAACATTCTTGGTGGAGCCTTCCGTCCTGTTCTCTAGGCTGCTGTATAGCTATCCTTTTGGAACTTCCTTTTTATCGTCTTTTTGGAAATTCCTTTCTTCTTTCTCCTGGGTTGGATCTCCTGTCCCTGGACTTCATGTCTTCTCCTTTGGCTCATCCCCTCATTTTCCTGGAGCACATTCTCCACTAGAAGCTTCCTGAGAAAAGATGCACAGAAGATCAGTGCTGAGACCTTGCATGTGTGCAAGTGTCTTTAGCTGACTCTCACGACTGATTCACAGTTTGGCTTGTGACGGAATTCCAAGTTAGAGCTCATTTCCCTTAGGGTCTAGAAAGAATTATTCTACCATCTTCTTGCCCCCAGCATTGCTGCTGAGCAATCCAATGTTGTCCTGCCACCCAATGCTGGTTTCTTTCTCTCTGAAATCTTCTAGGTTCCTGTCCTTACCCCTGAAGTTGTGAAATTTCTGGATGCTCTCACTGCCTGTTGTGATTTTATCTCCATCCATTGTTCTGGAAGCTCGTGTGCTTCCACAGTCTAGAAGCTTTTGTGGGTTTTGTTTTTTTTTAGATATTATTTCTCTGATGATTTCCGACTCTGTATTTCTTCTGTTCTTTCTAGAACTGAACTCTTAATTAGATATTGAATTTCCTCTGATTTTCTTACCTTTTTCTATCATTTGTCTTTTTGTTCTTGGGGAATTTCCTTTTTGTCAACTTTTAGTTCTTCGGGCTGTCTCCGCACCACTTTCCATAGAAGTTGTATTAAATACTAATTTTTCCCCTAGACATTCTTGTTGGAGAATTTTTGTTTTTAGACGTCCTTTTTGTTGAGACAGAGTCTCACTTTGGTTGCCCAGGCTAGAGTGCCATGGTGTCATCATAGCTCACAGCAACCTCAGACTCCTGGGCTCAAGCAATCCTACTGCCTCAGCCTCCCTAGTAGATGGGACTACAGGCATGCACCACCATGCCTGGCTAATTTTTTCTATACATTTTTAGTTGGCCAATTAATTTCTTTCTATTTTTTTTAGTAGAGACGGCGTCTCGCTCTTGCTCAGGCTGGTTTCAAACTCTTGACCTTGAGTGATTCGCCCGCCTCAGCCTCCCAAAGTGTTAGGATTACATGTGTGAGCCACCGCGCCCGGCCTAGATGTCCTTGACTTATCCTTGCTGTCAAATATTTTATTTCAGGCAACCATATTTAATTAATTTCCTATTAAACTTGTTCTTGTTCTCTGAATGCTCATTATTAGCCTTTGCAAGCTTAGCCTTTGTATATTAGCCTTTGTATAATCTTGACTGCTTCTTTTTCTGAAAACTAAGGGAAACAAGGGAGTGAGACTCCCTCAGTTAGGGTGCCAGCTGTCACCGCACCCCAGCTGGCCGGCTCCGCCCCACCCTCATTCCTGGCTGAGCCTGTCCTATCTCCAGCTCAGCCTCTTCAATCTCCCAGCCAATCCTCTTATTTTCAGCCCCCAGTTCCTCCCATTGTCATGGTAATGAAAGATCATCTTGTTGAAAGTAACAGTCTTTACTTGAAAAAAAAAAAGAAAACATGCTGTTTTATAGCATAGCTGAGAGCGCAAGTCTTGTAATGGTCACACGAAAAGAATATGTTACAATCGTTCTGTGGGGAGACATTTGCTCTCCGCTGGGAAGTGGCTTCTGCTGGCATGTGCATGCGTGTGACACATTTCCACCCGCTAACATCTCGATGAAGTATTACTTTGAAATGCAGACAACTCTGTCTGTGTCATGTCTCTGTTGGTATCATCTGAAAGGTGCCTATATTTTAAATAAATAGTATAGTTCCAACTCCTCATCCTTTATGGAAAGTAAGGAAAAGAAACAAACACACAGCCTTTGCTGCTTTCTTGCCCCACGGGGTCTGCTCAGGGGTAGTATCTTGGTGTGTTTTGTGATGCAATAAGAGCATACCATAGACTAGGTAATTTATAAAGACAGAAATTCATTGACCCCCAGTTCTGGAGGCCAGGGACTCTAATATCAAGGTGTTGGCATCTGGCAAGGGCCTTCTTGCTGTGTTATAACATAGTGAAGGTGAGAGGGTGAGAGAGGACAGGAGGGAGCAGAACTCCCCCCTTCATGATGGCACTTGTCGCACCCAGGAGGCTGGAGCCCTCAAGGCCTAACTGCCTCTTAAAGGTCACACCTCTTAATACCGTTGCAATGGCAATTAAATCTCAGCAGAGTTTTGAAGGGGACAAACATTCAAACCATAGCAGGTAGCACACAGCAGAGAATGCCAGCTGATGTATTCACTACTCCTCACTCCTTATACCCAAGGACACACACATGCGGTGAAGTGGAGGACTGGGCATTGGAGTCTGCTTGCTTGGGTTTGCCATTGTTACCACCTACTCAATTCCTCTAAGCCTCAGTTTGTCCCCCTGCAAAATGGGAATGATCATACTTATCCAAGTGTTGGGGGAGGATTAGACAAGATAATGCCTGTGAAGTACCAGGCACGTGGGACAGGAAATGTCTGTTTTTGTTACTGTCATTGCTACTGTTTTTATCACTAAATGTCCCATTTCTCCCACATGTGCCCACCCAGTGGTCCACTATGAGGTTGAGATTTGGACAGGGGATGTGGGCGGTGCAGGCACCACTGCCCGAGTCTACATGCAGATCTACGGCGAGAAGGGCAAGACAGAAGTGCTCTTCCTCTCCAGCCGCTCCAAAGTGTTCGACCGGGCGTCTAAGGACACGTTCCAGGTGTGTGGGGTATGGTATTGGGGGGCCAACAGAGAGCCCAGGGGCTCAAAGGTGCTTCCCTGGGTGTCTTTATTCCCTCTGCCAACACCCACTCAATAGGCTGCCTCCCTCCAGCTGGGTGGGAAATGCTTCCTCTCTCTAGACGGGAGTTTTTGGCCTGAAATGAAGGGATTGGACTAGATCAGTGGTTCTCACCCATGGCCTCTTATTAGAATCACCTGAGAAGCTTTAAAAAAAATGTGCTGCCTGGTCCACACCCCAGGCCAGTCAAATCAGAATCTCTAGAGGTGGGATGTATTTTCGAGGTATACTTTTAAAAGCTCTTCCAGTGATACTTGACATGCTGCCAACCCTGAGAACCACTGGAGTGACTGATTTGGATTCAGCGAAAGATGGCACTGGTTTCTCCACCCATGCCAGCCTGTGGCCCTGATTCTGTAGTGCCCGCAGGCCTGATGACAGGGCCGTGCTTCTCAGGCAGGACACCGGGAGACTTTGGGGTTTCATGGTTGTGTTCCAAGTGTCCCAGGCCTCCTCTTCCTTTGTAAATCTTTGAATAGGAGGAAAAAAGAGATGAGAATATGAGCATGTTGTTGGCAGGAGAGGAGGAGGCAAGGGTGGTGCCCATTGGGGGACACGTGAATGTTTTGTGGTGGACACAAGTGTGTATGTGTGTGTGTGTATGCATGTGTGTGCACCTGCAGTTATGTGTGTGCAGGCAGCATGTTCATGCTGGGTGCTCAATGTGTGTTTGTGCACCACAAATACCTTGTAGTACCTTGACCCTCAGCAAAGGGTCCTTACCAGTGTCCAAGGAGAAGGTCTTTGCTGAACTGGGACCTGGGCCATGGTCATAGGTGTTGGGGACATCAGAGCTGGAGCGAGCCTCATTGAGTCAAATGCCCTCATGCACTGCTTGGTAGGCGAAGGCCCTGCTTCCTCATCTGTTAAAACCTAGCTATATAACACCTTCCTGGCTGGCTTCACAGTCCCTGCAACGATCAAAAGAGTCATTGTCAGGGAATGCACTAGGGAAATTGTGACCAGTTACGGATATGGGACTGAGCAGGACATCTTCTGGATGCCACCTGGTGGGATGGGGTAGGGACACAGGCCTGGCCAGGCAGACAGGTGTGAGGAGGTGAGGGTGGCAAGCAGGCCTCCCTGGAGAGATTGGTTGCAGGGGTGCCGTGACATGGGAATGTTGGAGAGGAGAGCTGCTGTGCTGAAGAAGTTACTTACCAGGTCCAGCACCTGCCCCTTAAATAGCTGAGAAAAATGGATTCTGCTTTCCAGGGGGCCCTGGGCTCCACCCTGGCTGGTAGTTTGCTCGCCAGTGGATTGGTTGCATTGTGGTTTCATGAACAGGAGGTCAGAAGGCCTGAGTTCTCACCTAGGTCTGGACTTGAATTGTGGGATACTGTGCAACTCATGGGGTAGCCCTGGCGCTCATGAAAGAGAAGTAGTGGGGCCAGGCTTGGAGAAGTGTCAATACTCAGACTGCACTTCATCTGCACTGGGGAGCCTAAGGGAGCCCTCCTCTGGGGTCTGCAGGGGCCGGGCCAGGCCTTACCTTAATGCAGGTCATTCCTCAGAGCTTGGGGCTCAGGACAGAGTGGCCACACCATCTGACGCTGAGGAATCCATCAGTACTGTCCCCTGAGCCAGGCATGTGCTGTGCCCAATTTGGCAGAGACAAAAAATGATGGACCCCACCCTTAGGAAGCTCACAGTCGAGTGGGCAGAGACCAGCTTGCAAGGAGAAAGAGGGCATGTAGGCCAGACCAGGACCAGAGCTGAGCCCTGGCCCCCCCAGAGCTCTTGGGGAAGGGATAGCCGGGCAGGCTGAGGCTGTGTGCTCCAGAGGGGCTCAGGCTTCTGGGGGCGTGGGTGACATTTTTGTTTTTGAAAAAGAACCCTTTTTTTGTTTGCTTATTACAAAAGTTATTTATGCGTAATACTGACAAATTTTGGAAAAAGGACACAGAAAGGCACAAAAGGGAAAAAAAAAGCATTAAACCACAGGGCTCTGAATGAATAGGTCTTGGTTAGGGGCAGAGGAGGGAATAAAGGCAGGCCAGGAAAGGAGCTGCAGGAGCAGAGATGTGGAAATAGAAATAGGAGGAACGAGTGTGCGTGTCTGTGTTTGAGAGAAAGAGAGAAACGGGGAGACCACCTGGATCACCAGAAGGGTTGGAAGGAAATGAATCTGGGTGGACAGCAGGCCAGGCCAGGGGAAGCAGGCCGGGCGTGGCAGGAGAAAGGGAGCCGTGGACACGAGTGAGTGCAGCTTGGCTTGTGCGTCCTGCGCCTGGCTCTGCCCCAGCCTCTGCCCTGCACTTTGCACAGCTGGAGGCGGCCGACGTGGGCGAGATCTACAAGATCCGGCTTGGGCACACGGGCGAGGGCTTCGGGCCCAGCTGGTTCGTGGACACACTGTGGCTGCGGCACCTGGTGGTGCGGGAGGCGAACCTCACGCCCGAGGAGGAGGCCCGAAAGAAGAAGGAGAAGGACAAGCTGCGGCAGCTGCTCAAGAAGGAGCGGCTGAAGGCCAAGCTGCAGAGGAAGAAGAAGAAGAAAAGGAAGGGCAGTGATGAGGAGGATGAAGGGGAGGAGGAGGAGTCCTCGTCGGAAGAGTCCTCATCGGAAGAGGAGGAGGAGGAGGAGAGCGAGGAGGAGGAGGAAGAGGAGGAGTTTGGGCCGGGGATGCAGGAGGTGATTGAGCAGTACAAGTTTGAGGCCCACCGCTGGCTGGCGCGGGGCAAGGAGGACAATGAGCTCGTCGTGGAGCTGGTGCCGGCTGGCCAGCCGGGTCCTGAGCGTAAGCCCATGGAGGGGTCAGACAGTTCCCCTGAGGGGCTGGTGGGGGGCATGGGCGCCTAGATCCCCCTCACATGTAGGCCAAATAGGCGGGCACCCTCGTGGTTCCAAACAGCTCTCCTGACCTGCGTCCAGAATGCCACCATGGACAGCTCCGTTTGGGGTTAAGCACAGCGCTTGACCTCAGGCTCTCTGAAGGAATCAATGACATTGGGAACAGCCCTGGCAGAACGCAACAGGACTAACCATGGGGGCATGAGGCCACGCTGAGGCTGAATGTTGCCCTTGGCTTCATGGTGAAGGTGTCTCAGGTGGGGAGGGGGGCAGTTTCAGTCCCGGGTTAGTGCAAACGTGTGTCCATACATCCATCCTGCTCCCAGGGTCTGGCTGGGTCTGAGAGGCTGTGCCTCAGGTCCACCCCATGGCCCTGGAGCTCTGAGCGCTGTGTCTTTCTGTCTCCAGCCAACACCTACGAGGTCCAGGTGATCACAGGGAATGTGCCCAAGGCCGGCACTGACGCCAACGTCTACCTGACCATCTACGGCGAGGAGTACGGGGACACGGGTGAACGGCCCCTGAAGAAGTCAGACAATTCCAACAAGTTTGAGCAGGGGCAGGTAGAGTTCGGGTCTCCGGCCCCTGGGCGGGTGCCATGGGGCGTGATGCCCGGCAGTGTGCTTTGTCGGATCCCACCAGGTTTTACTCAGCACCTCTTCTGTAAGCACCAGTGCTCTGCAGTGGGGTTAGGGGCAAAGTATAGGCAGGCTCCAGTGCACGGAAGCCACAGGCTAGTGACCCACAGGAACAACCAGAGAACAGTGGCGACAGCCCACGCTCAGGCGCCGAGCAGGGGAGCAGGGGCTGTAGAAGTGCTCACCATGAGATGGCACCTTGGGGACAACTAGGGGGAAGGAGTGACTTAAACTGGCCTTGGCAGATGAGTATGGTGTAGAAGTATAAAGATCACAGTAGAAGATGTTCTCAGAAGATGGGACCACACGAGCTAAGACGTGGAGGTGGAAATGTGGAAGGGTGATCCCCATGGGTAATTTAGTGGATAAGACCAATTTAGTGTACAGGGTGGGTGGGGCCCTGAGAGTATTGAAAGGCAGGCTGAGGAGCCCCAACTGCATCCAGCCTCAAACTCCTGGTTTCAAGCGATCCTCCTGTCTCAGCCTCCTGAGTAGCTGGGACTACAGGCACGTGCCACAGTGCCCGGCTAATTCTTCTATTTAGTAGAGTCGGGGTCTCGATCTTGCTCAGGTTGATCTCAAACTCTCTCAGCCATGAAAGAAATGCATGTACCACACTCTTTCTTCCAGGTACAGCGGGAAAAGTGTGAAAAATAAAGCTGTCATTTTTGTCCTTCTTGTCCTTTAAGATTTTACAATATCCCCTGTCTAGAAGACTATTCCATACCTCATCCTTCTCATTCCTGCCCCTTCCCAAAGCCAGGCTCTCTCATTAACACAGAGAAACAAAAAATGAATTGGGCTGGGCACGGTGGCTCACACCTGTAATCCTAGCATTCTGGGAGGCTGAGGTAGGAGGATTCCTTGAGCTCAGGAGTTTGAGATTAGCCTGAGTAAGATCGAGGACCCGTCTCTACTAAATAGAAGAATTAGCCAGGCATTGTGGCAAGCGCCTGTAGTCCCAGTTACTCAGGAGGCGAAGCAGGAGGATCACTTGAACCCAGGAGTTTGAGGTTGCTGTGGGGTAGGCTGATGCCACAGCATTCTACGCAGGGCAAGAGTGAGACTTATTTTTGGGCTCACTGCTTGATCATCTCAGGAGCCCCCTGCTTTTTCTTTAAACATTCCCTCCCATGACTTGAGGATCAGGGTTTATTTCTGCATTTCAGTGCTTTCCATTAAAAAGTATAGCCACTATATTCCTAGATTAGAAAGAAATTTCTAGAGGACGACATAGCTGGTACAACTGATGAAATCTGAATACAGACTGTTAGATAATACAATAGTATTGTGTTGATGTTAAGTTTCCCGAATTGAACCATTGTACTGTGATTATATGAGAATGTCCTCATTCTCAGGAAATCCAAGATGAAGCATTTAGGGGCATAGTATCTGCCACTTACTTTCAAATGATTTGAAAAAAAATAGAGAGAAGACCAAGAGAGAGCGTGCAAGAGATAGAGAGGACAGGGAGTGAAAAAGCACACGTTGCAAATCGGTGCAGAATATCAGTGAAGGTGCACGAGCTTTCATTGTACTCTTTCTGCAAGTCTTTGGTAGCTTTGAAATCCTTTTCATAATTAAGAGTCAAAAAAGTTATAGCCAAGAAGACCCCATTCGCTTATAGGTCTCCCCTCGCTGAGTGCTACCCTGGCCCTTCCCAGACAGACACCTTCACCATCTACGCCATCGACCTGGGGTCCCTGACCAAGATTCGGATTCGCCACGACAACTCAGGCAACAGAGCAGGCTGGTTCCTGGACAGAATAGACATCACCGACATGAACAACGAGATCACGTGAGCGGGCCGGAGGGGGGGGTGGGGGGTCTGCTCCGAGGTAGGCTGTGCTGCCACCAAGCTAGTCCTGGAAGAGGACTGAGGGTGGGTGGCTGACGTCTGAGGGTGAGGGTGGGCTGGGTGACACTGGAGGGTGATGGTGGGTGGCTGTGTGTCATCTCTCTTGGCCAGCATGCTGGGTTTGACCCATGTAGCAGGGCACGGGTGGGCATTGCTTTTCTCTCTCTTCTCTTGCTGGGCGGCCCCTGGAGCTGCTTGCCCTGAGAGATGACTGACTGGCAGATCATCCAATCTGGGAGTTCTTGAGGCCTGTGAATTCAGAGAAACGGGGTTTTCAATCCCTGCCGGACCTTCCGTGGCCCAGTCTCCACACCCAGGCTTAGCTTACCCTTTCCATGTGTAAAGCAACTTCCAGGACATTATTTTAATGTTCTATACCAGGGATCAGAAAAATTTTTTCTATAAAGGTCACATAGTAAATATTTTAGGGTTTTCAGGCATTTGGTGTCTATATCCACGGCTTTGCTAGTGTAGCACACAAGCAGCCATAGATGATACCTTAATGATTGGGCACGGCTATGTCCCGATAAAGCTTCGTTTATGGACACTGAAATTTAAATTTCATGTAATTTTCACATCATAAAATATTATTTTTCTTTAGATTTTTTTCCAAAAATTAAAAAATATAAAACTTCCAGGATGTACATACGCAGGTGGTTGGCCAGATCGGGCCGGGAGGCCATGGTTTGTTGGCCCCTGCTGGAGGCTCACAGAGCTAGGAGGAGAGTGCTATGTCTTCCTCCAGAGGAAGGAAGCATGCCCCAGGGGAAGGAAGCATGCCCCAGGGGAAGGAAGCGTGCCCCAGGGGAAGGAAGCGTGCACCAGGGGAAGGAAGCGTGCACCAGGGGAAGGAAGCATGCCCCAGGGGAAGGAAGCGTGCACCAGGGGAAGGAAGCGTGCCCCAGGGAGGTGAAGCCAGTGCCCCAGAGCCAGGCAGTGCTGCTATAGCCAGGACTGGAACTCCAGCCCATCTGCGTTGAATCTGCTGTGTTTTCCACCATTCGGCCACATTGTCCCTTGGGTGCAAGGGGCTCAGGGTCATAGAGAGGACAGAGGCCCCTCTGTGTGGAGTGGAGTGGAGCAGAGAGGGGAGCCCGAAGACCCTGAGTGGCTCTGGCTGCTGAGGGCCTGCCAGCCCCTGGGGTTCAGTGGGCACCCCATAAATAAAGATTTGTTGAATTGAATCATCTTGGCCCACAGCCTGATGTTTCTTGGAGCATGCCCTCTTCTTGGGCTTTCCTCTGTGCAGAGCAGGGAGTGACAGGGCATACCCATCTCCCATCCCACCCTGCCTCATTGGCCCAAAGGGACACTGAGGCACAGCTTACAGATGGCCAATGCCATGTTTTCCTTCGAGGTTATTGTGACGGCACATAAGGGCTGTGGGACAACCCCATATCTGGGAACCGGGGTCCTGACCTGGGGTCTGTCCTGTGCCAGAAACTCACCAGGTCACCCTGGACAAACCACCCCGTCCTTATGGCCTTTTGTTTCTTCTCCTGGTGAACGGGCTGAAGAAATACAGCCCAGCTTCCTTCTCAAGATGTTCTGAAAATCTAAGGCATTTAAACTTTGAAAGGAAAAAGTGCCGGAGAGCCGTAAGGACAGACACAAACCGTGAACACCCCCAGTCTCCCTGTGGCTGGTCAGGAAGAGCTATTCCGTGCCATTGATTTGGCGTTTCGGGGCCAGCCCACCAATTTAGAAATTACTGTAGCTTTCTAATCTATTTTACTGTCTGTCAGTACTTGTCTTCCTACATTATTCTTTAAAAATATTAGCTATTCTTGCTGTTTTCAAATCAAGACATTAAGTGATTTGAAAAAAAAAAAAAGTTCTCTTGGAATTTTGATTGTTATGCCCTGATTGTATGCATGGAGAATTGCATGTTTAGAATAAGTGCTACCCTGGTGCACTTTTCCGTTTATCCCACTGTTCCTTTATGTATCGCAGTAATGCTTTATAATTTTCTACATATAACTGCTGCATGTTCTTGTTAAGTTTATGCCCAGGTATATTGTCTTTTATTGCTTTTGTGAATGGAATCTTCTCATTGCTGTTCTCTCTCTCCCCTCCCTTTCTCTTTTTCCTTTCTTCTTCCATCCTTCCCTCAGCCCCTCTTCCCTCCCCATCCTGCTCTGTTGGTGCTGCTAGTTTACCCTACTCTGTCTCCTTTGCTGTCGAGGCAGAAGTCAGGAAGGGCTCTGCGATGAGCCGGCTTCGATAACCTTCAGGCAAGGGCAACTCTGAGCAAAGCCTGCTTTGGGAGATGGACGGCAAATGATAGAAGTGCAGAAGAAACAGAATCAGAATAGCGGATGCCCCCTCTCTCGGAGAGACGCCCCCTTCCCCGGCAGTACCTAGGGCCTTCCCTCCTTCCCCGGGCCCTGCATGCCCTTTCTTAGCTCAGGATTGAGGCCCTTGCAGTCAATAGGATGCGAGACACGGACAGCGTCCCTCACTGCAGTATGTCAACAGCCTCCAAGCCACTGGGTGTCCTGGCACTTCCTGCCACTCATGCCCACCCCCTCGTCCATCTGCAGAGCCTGTTGGCTCTTCACCCAGCAGGGCTTGAGTCCCGCCCCATCTCTCTACTTCACCCGCTCCACCCCTGGCCAAAGCCTCCTGATTGGTCCCCTGTGTCACCCAGGCCCTCCTGTGGTCTACAGCAGCCCAGTGACCAGGATCACATCACTCTTCTGCTCAGAAGACTGCAGAAGCCTCTGCTCAGAAGCCTTTTCTTCACTATGGGGAAAAGCTAAAGCACTTCCGGTGGTCGGCTCCACCTGCAGGCTATGCCCCCCTGCCCCTCCGCATCTCTCTATCCTGGTCCCCCTTGCTCACTCCTTGCTGTTCCTTGAGCCCAGTGGACGTTGTCCCAGCTCGGGGCCTTTGCATTTGCTGTCCCTGCTCCCCAGTAGTCCCTACCCCAGGGGCTCACTCTCACACCTTCTTGAGACAGGTCTGCTCAGTTGTCAACAACTCAGTGGGACCTAGCATATGCCCCCTCCCCCTTATGCCTCTTTCTCTCTTCATTTTCCTCTGTATCACTTGTCCTCTGACTACAATAAGCTGGCATATTTAGTCCTTATTCATCTCCCTGAAGGAACATGCTAAATTCCGTGTAGGTAACGACTCTGTTTTGTTTGTTGCCGTGTTCTCCTCTGAACCTAGGAGAATGCCCGGGGCATACCATGAATACTTATTAAATAAGCTAAAACATAAAAAGGATGGTTGCTGTATTGATTCATTTGTTAATTTGACAAACGCATGCCCTGCTAAGTACTGGGGCTTTAATATTAATATTACAGATCCATATCTCAAATGGTATAAGTCAGAATAGGCTAGGTTCTGCTAAGCAACAAACAGCCCTAAAATGTCAGTGGCCTAACACAACAAAAACTTATTTCTTACTTATGTCCAATATATGTCTGCTGTATGTCCAATGCAGGGTATCAGAGGACTTTTGCTCAACATGCTCACTCAGAGACCACAGCTAATGGAGACTTTTCCTAAACATATGCTTCCATGGTCACAGTTGTCATGGAAAAGGGATGTGACAAGTCATGCACTTGCTGTTAAAGATCCCTTAGAGCTGAGGGATTTTATGTATATTAACTAGGGACTTAAAAATTCAGAGTCCTTCAGCATCCAAGACTCTGAGCCTGTAATGTTTGGGTTTCAGAACACGTGACAGAAATGGTACAATATTTAGGGGGTATATTGTCTTTAATTTGAGCATATTTGTTAAGTAATTCAGTCATTGGATATGCTACTTTCTATCCTGATATATTGCATTGTGGTGCAGTCAGGGCCTTCAGTGCATCCATCTCTAGAGCAATGCACATTGTATCCACCAAGCAACCTCCCATCATACACCTCCCACCCCTCCGAGTCTCCATTATCCACCATTCTACACTCTGCTTCCATGTGTACACATTATTTATCTCCCACTTATAACTGAGAGCATGCAGTACTTATCTTTCTGTGTTTGAGTTGTTTCACTTAAGATAATGGCCTCCAGTTCCATCCATGTTGCTGCAAAAGGCCTGATTTCATTTTTTTTTATGGTTGCATAGTATACCACTGGGTATATTCACCAAATTTTATTTATCTAATCCTCCAGAGGAGGATATATATATCAATATATCAATGTAGCAAAATTACACTCGTACCCCATAAATACATACAAATAAAAAATAAATGGAAAAATAAAAATTTAAAAAATAAAGGAAACAGAAAGGCACAATTTCATTTAATCAATAAGCCAATGGATGTGTAACAGGATAGAAAGTAGCAGATCCAATGACTGAATTACTTAACAAATATGCTAAGTAATATGGTGGACACTTAAGTTGATTCCATATCTTTGCTACTGTGAATAATACTGTCATAAACATACAAGTGCATGTATCTTTTTTATATATTATTTTATTTTCCTTTGGGTGGATACCTAGTAGTGAGATTGCTGGATTATGTGGCAGTTTTATTTTTAGTTCTTTGAGAAATCTCCATGCTGTTTTCCATAGAGGTTGCATCAATTTACATTCTCACCAACAGTGTATAAGAGTTCCCTTTTTTCCACATCTTTGTCAGCATCTGTAATTTTTTTGTCTTTTTAATAATATCCATTCTGATTGGTGTAAGATGATATCTCATTGTGGTTTTAATTTTCATTTCTCTGATGATTAGTGATGTTGAACATTTTTTCACATGCCCATTGGTCATTTGTTTATCTTCTTTTGAAAAATGTCTATTCATGTCCTTAGCCCACTGTTTAATGGGGCTATATTTTGTTGTTGTTGAGTTGTTTGAGTTCCTTGTAAATTCTGGATATTAGTTCCCTATCAGATGCATAGTTTGCAAATATTTTCTCCCAATACACAGGTCATCTGTTCACTCTGTTGATTATTTCTTTTGCTGTGCAGAAGCTTTTTAGC